TGGGTTACAATGATGCAATTTCAAAGACAATGACCAAAATAAAAGTGATTTCCGGTGGAAAAATTTTATCACTAATGTGTGGGTGTTGCTAGGCAACAAATATTGCAGTGTTTAATCTCCACCCTTCCTAAGGAATTGCATGATGAAAGAAAACAAGCTTTTGTAGCGTTTAGATACAAGAGTTGTGTCTAGTAATTCTTAGTCTTCTTTTTGAATGTTGTTTCTTTTATGCTGAAATACCTGTAATTCTTGTAAGTACGTATCAATCTACTCCCATTTTTTAAAAAGTTGGTTCTACTATCCATAATGATTAATGGGAATGTACTAAAATTACCATAAATCGATTAACAATATTGCATCACTATAATAGATGGCTACAAGTGACAAAAAAATAGATGCTAGTCATCTGAATTTGAATGCCTATATGATTTATTAGTATCAATACTTAGACAATATATGTAGACATGTGAGTTTCAAAGAGAAAATAAACTCCAGAGATTAAGAAACAACTATGCTTTTATAATTGTTATTTGAAAAGATTTGTATGAAGCTAAGACCTTATTTAGTATCCCATGTATGCTTCAGTGCCTAAACAAGTTCCAGTAAAATTAAACATCCATAGGTAACTCTTATTTTGGAGCACACATTATATATTTAAGGAAATCTAAGAAATATCACAAACATTTTCAAGTTCTGGTAAAAAAGAACTGAATCTGATAAGTTAGAACAACTAACAACTTTTTTTAAAAATTTTATTTATTTATTTATTTATTTTTATTTTTATTTTTTTTAATTTTTGTTTTTTTGAGACGGAGTCTCACTCTGTTGCCCAGGCTGGGGGGCAGTGGAGTGATCTTGGCTCACTGCAACCTCTGCCTCCCAGGTTCAAGTGATTCTCCTGCCTCAGCCTTCTGAGCAGCTGGGATTACAGGTGCCCACCACCACGTCTGGCTAATTTTTGTATTTTTAGTAGAGACAGGGCTTCACCATGTTGGTCAGGCTGCTGTCAAACTCCTGATCTCATGTGATTCGCCTGCCTCGGCCTTGCAAAGTGCTGGGATTACAGGCGTGAGCCACTGAGCCCGGCTGAAAACAACTTTTTATGTGGCTCAGTTTTCCCATCTACAAAACAGGGATAACACTAAAACATACTTGTATTATCACAGCAGTGGTTATTTAATTAAAAATGGGGAAGCATTGGATGAAATACATTCCAATAAACGGTGGAGCTGTTATTGTCCCAAACACTATGTCAATCATTATGAAGTGGAGAGCTAAGAAATGATCTTTAAAAAGTTCATCTACATAGATATTCATGCTGCAATAAACCTCCACTTTTACAAATCTAAGAAGATGGTAATCCTTAGACTGTTAGAATAATTCGAGTATTTGTTCTTAACTCTTATTTTCATGTGGCAATAACCTTGATTATCAAGGTTATTGATAATCTATCCTAGTCCAAAAGAGCCTGTAACAACCAAGGCTAAAGTCATGTTAATTACAGGATTTCTATATCGTATCTATTATTTCAATGAAGAACTAGAAAACAGGAACCTAGGAAACAGACTTAATGTTTCTTCTCAAGAATTATAATAATCTGTTAATGTGTATAAAATGATCCCCCCAATGTCTAATTTAAGAGCATGCCCATTGCAATTTTACCAATTCGTTTTGTCGTTCATATTATATTTTCTCTACAAATAGAAGAATAGGTACATGCCAAGAACTCAGAGTTCTCAGCAACTTTCACAATGTAACCATCCTTAAGATGGGGAGAGGGGAGAGGCAGATTTCATTTACTAAACCTTGCAGTAGTCAACATTAGCTTTGTAAAGCAATTAACCTTTGACATTACATTAAATTTATATCAAAAATAGATGTTTTAACCTCAATGTCAATCATTTTATAGGTGTGAAAACTGAGGCCCAGAGCCTTTGGAAAACCAAAGTCCTTCTATTAGCAGCTCCCCTAAATAATACTATGGTCCCCTAAAAACTACTACTTTATTATCAACCTCTTTTTCTCCTCCATCTTTCATAAAGATAATTAAGAAAAACAGTCCTTCTATTTTTGGATCCAGCTAGCAAAATGGGCATCTTATGCAAATTAACATTAGAATTTCAAAACTAGACCACTAAAATAAAGCATGCCACTAATTCATTTTACAGAACTTGAAGGCTCAACTTTAAGCTGGAGCACATTAGCAGAGTGGCAGTTAAATCTTCAAAGATGCTACACTTAATTCCTCTCTTTTCTGCATATGCAACCCTTTGTTCCCGTTAACAGGCAGACTGTATCTTTTCTCTGCGTGAATCTGGGCTGCCCTTGGGACTTATTTTAAGAGGCCTGCCACTTCTGCCTTCATATCCTCTTGGGGAAATCAGTCACGCTGTAGAGCAGCAGTTTGGGCTGGAGTCTGAAATGATGAGAGAGGAAGTGGAGACAGATAGTCCATGTAGAGAACACCTAATGGCCAGACCTGTTGAGTGAAGCGAGTGGACCTCCAAGACAAACCCAACTACCAGTCGAATACAACTGAAGGAGTGAAGCCAGTTAACGTTACAGGAAGCAAAGAAACCTCATAGCTGGGCTCTAGCTAAGTTCCCAACTGAAGCATCCTAGGTAAGAAATAACAAACCATTATTGCTTTTTCAGCTGCTAAGTCTGGAGTTGCTTGTGTAGCTACAGATTGCTGAAATGACTGTTAGCCAGCAGCACTAATTTAAAGTTTGGAGTTTTAGCTCCATTATATATTTCCCCAGGAAAATAAAGGAGAAAAACCAGAATCTGTAAGTATGGAATAAGGAAAACCCATGAAGGAGAGATATTTCTACACTTGTAGATAGAGACAGAGTAAGATAAAATATAAATGACCAACTATGATGGGTAAATTCCCTGCTATAGAAATGCAAAGACACAGAAGTTAAGAGTTTCTGCAAGCATGTTGTAACCAGTTGAGCTTAAAAAAAGAAAAAAAATAAGGTGTACACACAGAGAGATGGGCCGTGGCCAGGAAAAGTTTCATTGACACTAACGTAGTATAGTGATGAGCAAGACATTGAAAAGATCTGGTTTAAAAAATACTAAATATGGGAGTCAAAAGATTTGGGTTTAAGTCTTGGTTTTCTCCCTTGTCAAGTAGCCATGATATCTCTCTGGCCTTTTTTTCCCCTATAGCTCTAAAATATCCTGCTCTGCTCTATGTAGAGTAAGATCCACCATCAGCTAAGCTGGTTGACTTTGGCAAGTCACATACTATTTGAATCACAATTTATTCTCAACAAATGATTGGTTACAATTAATGACCCATGAAGCAGACCCTGAGGTGGCCCTTGTAATAAAAATATGATCAAGACTGGTGTTCAGAGAAAAACATCTTTTTATTGAGCTAGAAAAAGAGTACAAGCTAACATCTAGAGGCAAGAATTCCTTTATGATCATTAAATATTTTTTAAGTATATAAGGCATTGTACTACAAGGTGAGTGACAGACAAAGCCCAGCCTTCAGGAAGTCTGTAACTGAGGAGTTATAAGGGAATCTAAATTTCCTTTTTTTTTTTTTTAATTGAGACGAAGTCTCGTTCTGTTGCCCAGGCTGGAGTGCAGTGGCAAAATCTCGGCTCACTGCAACCTCTGCCTCCTGGGTTCACGCCATTCTCCTGCCTCAGCCTCCCAAGCAGCTCAGACTACAGGCGCCCGCCACCACACCTGGCTAATTTTTTGTTTTTAGTAGAGACGGGGTTTCACCGTGTTAGCCAGGATGGTCTCGATCTCCTGATCTCGTGAACCGCCCTCCTCAGCCTCCCAAAGTGCTGGGATTACAGGCGTGAGCCACCCTGCCCAGCCCTAGGAATCTAAATATCTATAATAAAAAGCAAAACATCAGCTAACCTGGGAAAAGCGAGGGGTGGCAGGAAGGAAAAAAAGAAAGCAAAACAAAAGTGCAAGTCATAATAAAGGTAGAAAATATATGGAAATTTAGAGAGAGATGAATCAAACAGCATTAAGAGCTCTTGGAGGACAGATTGGATTTTGGCATGGAGAAGTTTACAGAAGATACATTATTAAGAAGGGTGATTTCTGGGCTGAAGAAATGACAACAGCAAAGTTGTCACTATGATGAAACAGAAGAAAATATTTAGAGAAAGAGAGTATTAGACAACAGCTTGGAAAGCAGAACAGAACACAACATTCTGGAAAGCCTCAAGTTGCCAGATACTGGACTTTGTTGTTAGGCAGTGAGGAAACTGCAAATACCTAGGTATGACAAAGTTTAAAAGAAATGGGTTAAAAAGGTTAAAGAAACAAACACGGCTTGGTGAGATACTGGTCAATGGCTGAGGAAAAATTCAAAGCAAATAAGCTCTGAGCTTGCAAGATTAGGCAAATCATTAAGTGAATGTGTAACACCAGGAAGGAGTTCACAGGAGAGAAGGTGAGGGCACAGAAGAAAAAAGCAGCCTCATTTTTCCATTTGCTAACCATTTTCATAGTCATTCTTATTATGTAACTCATAATTAAAACGGGTTTTAAATCTGAAGTTTACCATGAAGGGGTAATCCCTCATTTATCTGTGGATACTGCTAATAGTAAGTCTATGGATAGATCTTTCTGGTGTGTGATGTGGATTGCTTTTCTTAGCTTCTAAACTTTCCCAGCACTTCATCATTCACCAAAACCCAACAAGTGTCCAAGTTTCAATTGCCAAGGCCTCTGCTGGATCCAAAATCATTCTCAAGAGGACGTATAATCACCACTGACAACAAAGAAAAAAATACCTATCCTGGTGCTCCAAAAGTTAGTCATTACTAAGAAAAGCAGACGTTTTAGAATTAGTACCATGTGAAACACGATTCACTTCAGCTGGCTGGTGAAATGTCAAAAAGGCTTGACAGAAGAACAGAAAAGATGTCAACTGGCAGGAGAAATGTATGGCTCTCCAAGGACTCTGGGGCAGTACATGGAAGGCGAGAAAAATGCACTGCACTCAGAGAACTTACCTGGGCAAACTTGTGAATCTGTTCCACCACTGCAGCAAAAAGAGCATGGACACTCTCATCGATCAGACTCTGCATGTAATGCACAGCCTCTTCATCCGACAGGTCTAAACGGAATTTATCCTGAACCTATAAGATAACACTTTTCGTCTTTACAATGAAGAAAAATAGGGCACATTTTGAACAGACAGAATCAAACTGATATAGACATTATAAAGTAACATAAGCTATTCCTATGGCAAATAAATGACCTGTAACTTATCAGAATGCTGAATGCAATTCTTTGGAGTGTACATGTTTGCTGTTTTTGTTATATGCTCTGCATATCACCTCGTTCTTGTTGGCTGTAAACAGCTTTTAAGAAAAGAAAAAAGAAAAGAAGAAATTTTTCTTAGGGTCCTACATTTTAAAAACAGATAAACTGCTCTTTTAATTAAAGGTGTGCCTTATTTTTTTTTTTTTAATCTAAAATCTAGAGTGACTATATATGATTTAACTTGTGGCATATTTATTAATAATCCACTTTATCCCTGTTATTCCTTGCGAAATGGATGAAGCAAGGTGAGATTATATTAATATTCTCCCATACCTTCAGTGTCTACATAAGAACAGGAACAATATCAATCACTGACAAAATAAACTAAATGTGATTTTCTAAGGTTTCCTTTCCTATTGAATTTCCCTATATCCCAGCACAAAACTGTGTCAATAGGTCTATAATTTCCAAAGATAAAAGAAATTTTTTACTCCTATTTAAAGCTACAGTTGATTTTCAGTAGCATTAAGTATTAGAAAAATTAGTATCTATATTTACATGTGTATATTTTATATACATAAAAGTCAATGTTACTGAAGAACTACTTTGTGCAAAACGCCATGCCAAGTATCATACATGCAACATTTTATCTGACTGATGATAAACATACAGTAGATACTATCTCATCAATAAGATGCAGAAATTGAGGCACAGAGAATTCATGAAGCTGGCTCAGGGACCCTTAACTGGTACATGCTTCCAGACAATCCCACGCCACCACACAACCATTACACACTACTCCTTTCTCTTGTAAATAACCCACATATACTTCTCAAAGACAGGCTAGGAGAAAGTGAGGTTTCCAAGTGGACAAAGTGTGGCCCACATTTAGGGTTTCAAGTATAAGGTTTCACTACTAGAAAGCTACAAAGAAGAAAGGACAGTGTAACAACCCATAGCCCCAACTCAGTGCCCTTGTCTCTTCATGGTACTGGAGGTATACCACATGATCTGAGAGTGCTTGAGCCTCAAGATAGGGGGAGGTAAAAGAGAGGTAAATGTAAAAAGTGAAGACAAGAACAATTTGGTAGAGGAACATCTAAGGCTGTATCTTCAATGAACTAGCTCTCTCATTTCCTGGATCCCAGATAATAACAAACATAGTCCTTGAGTTTGATCTTTTGATTTCCTTAACTTCTACTTACAGAGAGAATATCTGACAATTTTGGAACTATTTTTAAGGACATAAAAAATCTACAGAATAGGAGAATCAAAATAAATTTTAGCCCAATTTATCAAAGCTTACATACTTACATAAGTGCCTGCATTACAAAGAGAAGGTATACACCTGGCATAAAAATATAATGTTATTTACCAAATATGAAAATATTCTCTTTTATACCAAAAGGTTAACTGTATATAAATAGTTATTTGGTATCAGATTTACTGACTTATGTTAGGCTGTCCTCTAGGTTCTTAAGATTCTTAACACATATACTAATTAATTGTAATATTTAAGGCTATTGTAAATCAACCACAACTTTATAAACTAAAAAAAAATTCCCCATCTTTGGAAACTACAGACCTATTCAGGTAGTCCTTTGCAAGGATACAGGGAAATTCTATAGGAATGGAGATATATGAGAAGATCTAGTTTAGTTTATTTTGCCAGTGATTGACATTATTCCTGTTCCTCCACATTTCTGTTCCACACATCATTACTTTAAAGGTGTGGAAGTAAATTAAATAATTTCTATCGATTTATCTTCAAGTTCACTGACTTCTAATGCCATAATCCAATTTGCTATTAAGCCTACCCAATTAATATTTCATTTTAGCGAGTGTACTTTCAGTTCCATAATTTTCATTTTGTTCTTTCTTCCTAGTTTTAATGTCTCTATTGATAGTCCTATCTGTTCCGTAATTATGCATTTATTTTCCCTTAGGTGCATGGATATTTATAACAGCCGTTTTAAAGTCCTTTTCTGTGGTCATGGGTCATCTCAGGGTGTTTCTACGGATTGTTTTATTTTTTCATTGGCTTAGTATCACATTTTCTGTTAATTCACACATCTAGTTATATTTAAAAAAAAAAAAAAGAGATAATAGACATTCCAAATGATACATTAGAGAGACTATGAAATTCCATTGTGTTCTTGTGAAGATTCATTGTAGCTGGGAATTAACTTGAGTAAATTCAGTTTTAAAATAAATCCTCCCTATGATGGACAATAGCTGAAAACTCGGCTCAGTTCTTTAAGCTTTGGGCTGCTGCTTCCGCCTCCCTGTGACTGCAGAGCTGGAGCAGCAAGCTGTCTCTCCAGATATGGGAACCTACTCATGTAACTGTGGGCATGAACAAATAAGGGGATAAAACTGGCTGCAGAGACTTGAGAATTTGTTGTATTCTGGAATATGGAAAAATTATACAGAAGAGCTCTTCATTTATGTTACTTAAAAATTACCTTTTTCACAGTTTTATCTGGTTCAAGTGCAATATCTGGAATGTTTGCATCAACCATCAAGGAAAACAAGTTCAAAATCAGATTAGAATACCTAAAGAAGAGCAGAAAAGGAAAAAAAAAATAGCAATAATTAAGAATTCTGCATTTCTTTCTCATATTAAGAAATTTCTAGAAGTAGTGGTACTTGGATTTTTACAGTGATTACTATTATTCCAGCAGGAAATTCATCAGTTGGTATCAATGAAATGCAAGCCTTGACAAATATTTTATTTTGGGGTCTTCATATAACACCATTTCTAAATCCTATACCATGGGGCAGACCTTTGGGGTAATCATCCAATAATGACATTCTTTTCATTTTTTAGTAAGTATATATATTTTTAGAAGGGATCTGAGGAAGATCTACTTTATGTCTAATTCGCATTTTGTAACAATTAAGATCTATCTGCTTTTGCTAGATGAAGGTAACAATCTGCTACTTTAAGATGACCTCGGTGTGTCATGGCTAAATGAATGAAAGGGAAATAATATCATCCCATGAATCACTTGTATCTTCCAGATATACCAATCATCATTTCAGGAACTACAGTGACTGACCTGGATAAAAATAATTCTAGAAGAAAAAATTGCTAGTACTCTGCTGCATTAAAAATGGGCAAGATATCTAAATAAATATCATCAGAGCATGCTGGCCTCCAACAGCAACTAACAGTTTCTCTTCACCAATCCTCAAACTCTTCCTCTTCCTCCAAAGAGAACAATGTTACTATTCTGAATGGTCATTTCCAGAGGCGGGGCCTTGTGGGGGAAGGTGTAAATAAATCTCCACTGGGATCTCTCCACTTTGGCTCTTGGTGGCCCCTCCTTAGCACTGATAAAAAGAGATTCAGGTTTGATCTTCAGGATGGATGTAAGGAAAGCATTGGTTTTCAGCAATGAAGGTTTTTAGCTGTTTCAGTAAAAATGTCAACCAAGTGCCTTGCATTGTCTTCTCTAGGGGATGGGGGCAGAATTTGGATGATGCAGGATCTTTATCCCAGCTACGTGCCTATCTATAATGATAATAATAATAATAAAATACAAACTGTTAAAAACTGTTTAATACTTATACTGTAATGATAATGGAACTTGTATAGAAAAATGACTATCCATATGAGTTTCAAGTTATCTATTTTATCTTCATTTCTGAATTTTCTATTCCTCATAAAAATCAAGAGGAACTATAATGAAAAACTTCTACCTTGATGTAGTCTAATCAAATCAGGCCCTAACCCACTTAAACTCTTAGGAAAAAAAAGTTATGATAATAGCTAAACAGCTTTAACCTAGCTTTAAGTTACTAATTTATTTGTGGGAATTGATAAATGCATACCACAGATGTTATTCCATTCCTACTCATATAATCCTTTTATTCATTCAATCAACAAATATTTACTTAGTACTCACTATATCCACTGTTGTGGGCACTAGGGATACAGACAGTGGTGAACTGAACAAACAAGGTCCCCACACTCATGAAGTTTACATTCTGGAGGAGGGTGGAAACTAATATAATAAACTGATAAACATGATAATGTTATGTCTGCTTGAATAAAAGATTTAAAAGAGAAAAAACAACAACAGGAAAATGGGTCAGAGAGAAAGAGGCATCTTAAGGCAGTAAGGTTTTATTTGAAATGCACTGAGAAGCAACTGAGTTTAAGGAGTGGAGTGACACACGTTGATACGTATTTTTAACAGTTCACACTGGCCATCTTGAAGGGAATAATAATCGAAGTAGAGAAACTATATCACAGACTTCCAGGTGGACAAGAAACTACCTGGGGGCTATCAGACTATATTTTGGAGATGAAATAGATGATCCTTGCTGATGGTTTCAATGGAGGTCAGGGTGACAGGATAGAGAAACTGAAAGACACAAAGGATTTAGCGTAATGGGACACTAGTGTTATTCACCAAGACAGGAAAGGCTAAATGGAAGAGGAACAGGATTTTAGACAGGGACTCAAGAATTTCATTTTAGACATGTAGAGTTTGAGGTGCCTACTAGATTTTTAGTAGAGATGTCAGATATATCTCAGAGGAGATATGAAAGCTAGTGATATTAAAGTCATCAGTAATGGGATCATATGTAAAGTCACAGGATTGGATGAAAATGGTAAGGGTGGGGCAAAAAGAAAGGTCCAGAATGAAACCCTTTATAATGATAACGAAGCTTCTACATAAGAGGTGTCCCATCTTTTGGTTTCCCTGGGTCACAATGGGAGAAGAACTGTCTTGGGCTATAGATGAAATACACTAACACTAATGATAGCTGATGAGCTTTAAAAAAAAAATCTCATAATGTTTTAAGAAAGTTTATGAATTTGTGTTGGGCTGTATTCGAAGCTTTCCTGGGCCGCATGTGGCCTGGGGGCCACGGGTTAGATTCTCTATGGAAATACAGATGATCCACTTGAGAAGGCTGCAAGGAATGCGATGCCAGCAGCATGCAAATCAGCTGTTACATATTATAAAAAAAAAAAAAGGTGCCCTTTCAACTACCTATCCATCATTTGTACTCCGCTTTGTTGATTATACAGGTACATAATTTTTTCCCATCTTGGCATGGGGAAATCTGCCAGAAGGTAACATAAGGAGAAGAATACAAAGTCAATTTTGGAAGAGATATATTAGAAGTTCTCCAACTTGGCTGCCCATTAGATTCAGTTGGGTAGCTTTTCAAATGTATCAATGCCTGAGCTCAATCTCAGACCAATTAAATATGAGGGAGCCCAGACCTTTCCCCTTGCCACCTCATCTACAAGCTCCCCAGGTGATTCCAATGGGCAGCCAGGATCAATGTTAAAAATCTGCCTTTATGGATGCCGAATGTGATGTTCCTTTTAAAAAAAGGTAAATACTAATGCTTTCTGGATTATCTCCTGATTTAAATTTAACTATCCATGCTTCTATTGTTATAGCAAAGGGAAACAGAAATAAACATAAAGGTTAGACATCCACATACTTCGTGAATAATTTGTCACTACCTTTGATATTAATCTTTTACATCTGTTGTCATTAACCTGCATTTTCCATTTAACACACAAGTGAACCAAAATAGCAAGTGTTTACTTAACAGGGCAGTCATTTAATGTCCTATCCAGAAACACAAATTTAAAGGCCACTTGATTTTTTTTTTTTGAGATGGAGTCTTGTTCTGTCACCCAGACTAGAGTACGGTGGCACGATCTCAGGTCACTGCAACCTCCGCCTCCCAGGTTCAAGCGAGTCTCTTGCCTCAACCTCCCAAGTAACTGGGACTACAGGCACATTCCACTATGCCAGGCTAAGTTTTGTATTTTTAGTAGAGACAGGGTTTCACCATGTTGGCCAGGCTGGTCTCGAACTCCTGACCTCAAGTGATCTGCCTGCCTCGGCCTCACAAAGTGCTGGGATTACAGGCATGAGCCACGCCGCCTGGCCAACAAATAAGTATTAGACAACCTAAGATTAAAAAATAATAATAATAGGGCGGGAAAGTGTGCAAAATCTATTCTAGCAAAGATTGCAAGATGGAATGTGACATAATTAGGGTTTTTAGAAAGAAGCAAGTTGCACGTAACATTCAAGGAAACTGAACTCTTTCTCTTACCCACGTTCATGTCAACTATCATGCTACACTCTAGTCATACAAAGATAATTTAAATTTTTCAGGAAAAACCTTAATTACTGAAAACAGAAATCCATTGACTATACAGAGGTTCTTATAGTATTTCAAAGGTCAATTTCCTCTACATTCTATTTTCCATGACACAAAAATCAGAGTTCCTGTGAAAATGTTATTTAATAAGTGTACTACTTTAAAGAGGGGAAGCAATGTCGTTAATGATGTTTGTGACTAATAAAGTCACTGATGTTTCGTGACTAGGCAAACATCTCTTAGACAATATGAGAACTTTACTTGATACAGTTAAATGCGTTTCTTTTTTTTTCCCCCCCGAGACACAGTCTTGTTCTATTGTCCAGGCTGGAGTTCAGTGGTGTGATTTTGGCTCACTGCAACCTCTGTCTCTTGGGTTTAAGCGACTCTCATACCTCAGCCTCCCTACTAGCTGGGATTACAGGCATGCACCACTACGCCCGGTGAATTTCTGTATTTTCTTTTTTAGTAGAGACAGGGTTTCACCATGTTGGCCAGGCTGGTCTCGAACTCCTGGCCTCAAGTGATCCACCCACCTCAGCCTCCCTAAGTGCTTGGATTATAGGAGTGAGTCACCATGCCCAGTGGGTTAAATGCATTCCTTATTTCACTGTTGAAAATCTTTACCAAAAAATGTAGAAAGAACATCTTTGTAACATCAGTGTCTAAAAATGGTGTTTGGCATAAGTGTGGGTTGGGAGAAAGACAATATGTACTGATTAATAAGAGATGATAATGTATTTTATAACCATTTATAACTAAGTTCAAAATGGCCTACTCTGCTTATGTGGTACGATGTTATTCAGTGGTTTCTTTGTGAAGAAACTGATCCATTATCCAGAAAAACTATAAACTAACAGGGCTGGTCATACCTATAAAGCCTAATAAAAGTACCAATAACCTTAGCTCTGAACAACTATCAGGTTAATTCTTACATCCTTGAAGGCATTTTTTAAAACCAACTAAAACATACACTAAAATACAACACTAAAAAATAAATGTTGGCCGGTGCAGTGGGTTTATTCCTATAATCCCAGCACTTTGAGTGGCCAAAGCGGGCAGATAGCTTGAATCCAGGAGTTCAAGACCAGTCTGGGCAACATAGCAAGACCCCACCCCGTCTCTACAAAAAAACCACAAAAAATGAGCTGGGCATGGTGGCATACACCTGTAGCTCCAGCTACCTGCAAGGCTGAGGTGGAAGGATCATCTGAGCCCAGGAAGTCAAGACTGCAGTGAACCATGGTCATGCCACTGCACTCCAACCTGGCTGAGAGAGTGACAACCTGTCTCAAAAAAACAAACAAAAAGTTGATCAAACAATTTGGGTCCAGATAATATAAAGTGAAGTACAGGGAAATTTTTAAAAGTTGCACAGTTTTCATTAAAACTTTGCATAAAATTATTTAATCTCTCTGTGGCTTTTCTTTGTAGCGAGGAAGTCAACCTTGGCTCTCCATTAATAACCTGCCTGTTTTCTCATTCTATTGAATTGCTACTAATCCTCTACCAATGACAGTTTATAAAGCACATTGTTTTCCTTCTGCTTTCAATAAGATAGAGCACCTTTGACACTTCTCTAGTTATCATTCCTTACCATCTTGTCTGCCACCTCCCTGAGATATCCATGGTTCGACTTAGTTTTCTACGGGCTTTGACTATTTTAAATTAAAAATCCCAGATATGAAATGGCACTCTCATCTCTCTGAAAGTGCTTCTGCATCACCAAACAAATCTAAAGAGCACTGATTTTCTCATTATTCTTTTAGCATCTCTGGAGGGTAAAACTGAGCCATTCTGCCACCCAAAAGATAAATAACACGGCCATTTGTAAAACGCCTGTTACAGGGTTTGTGATACGTGGAAAAGACTGAGTTTACAACAAAGACCTAGTCATTGCATAAATGAAACCCGATTACTATAAAAAAAAAACAGTCTTTTAGGACCAGCACATCAACATCAACCGGGAACATGGCCTCACACTAGACCAGAAGCAGGAATTCTGAGGGTTCTCATACAAATACGAAGAGTTCTCAATGAATAAACATATAATGAGTGCCTATGTACTAAACACTGTATGAGTAATCGAGGTTACAAAGGTTATGAAGACAAAGGAGACAGAACCCACATGCACTGGCAACTTGCTATCTATTGGTTATATTTTCACCTGGAAGAGCATGTATATATGTTTCCCGGACTGGGATTTTCTGCTGGACTAAGAAAAAGTTTATCAAACATGACTTTTATTTTCCTTCCTGATGACATATGATAGTCAGTCCTAAGTAAATTAGGAAGAAGGAAGCACAGATATAGTGGCACTGAAGAAAAAAGGATGGAGAAAAAACATTTTTTTTGTAGCAGAATGACTGATGATGTGTTAAAAAGAGATAAAAATCATATTTAACATTTACTTCAATCATTGAGCAAACTTTTCAATATTCCTGAAAAGTACCCAAAACTAAGGAAGCTAAAGAATAAAAATGATTGAACTAATATCACTCTAAAGAAGTTATATCCTACATTCTTTGATAAAGAAATAGGAAGTCAGCTAGGGAGAAGGAAGAGAACCCAGTAGGTGACTGTACTACTGCGGGACTGTCTTCAGGCAGATCTGAATGGTATGAAGTTTCTTAACCTTTTCTCTATCTCAGTACTGTCAAAGTACATTTTATTAAAGTGACATCAACCCACTGAGTTGGAAGCCTCCATGTTTGCTTCATCTTATGTGATGCCAGCTTCCTGCCTGGTGGGATACAGTAATGAGATAGTGGGAAAGCGAGAAAGTTTATGTCTTTTTCCTTTGATATTTGATAATCTGTCAAAATTGGTATTAAATATAAGACAGGAAATACTGTTGCCTTTGTCATTTTGATAAAGTGATCAATGCTAAAGAATGCATACATTTAAACAACTCCTTCTCTTGTTCTATAAAATACAATAAATTTACCCAAATTCTCTGTGCCAAGCAAATCAACTTACCTTCGCAGGTGGAGGAAAGCCGTGTAACACTGTTTACGGAACTCTTGGTACTGCTCACTCTGTGTGCCCCCCATTCCTTCTACCATTTCTTTATTCAGCTTCATTGGTGGAGGAAGAGGCTTCGGATCCCGACCCAAAATATATCCAAAGTCTATGTGGAAGAGTTTGCCTGGATGTTGACAAGAAACTCATTTGTTACCAGAATTATCTTAAAGAAATTGGTAGGGGATATGTCACACAATTGTCTCTTCATAAAGAATATTAGTTCAAGATGAAGCCTATTAAATTCTTCGATATTTCTAACTGCAGGTTTGAGAGTGGCCTTCGAAACATAATTAACTCATTTTAACTCATTCATTCAGACAAAATGATGCCTAAAATCGTGTCAAAGTAATGGTAACCTATGTTAAATCCTATTTATAAGTCTTCAGAATCAAAGACGGTTAGAGCCTGGATAATATTTTAAGGTATCAGCAGAAATTGGAATCTTGTAGCAAATTTTTTGTGCTAAAGTTTAAGCACAGTGTCCTTCATATAACGGAAAATCATTTCTTTATTCCTGAGATGAATCCTTCTGCTAATTTATCATTACTCAAAAAAAAATTTTAGAAAGGAAAAATTTAAAAAACCATATTCTTAGCATAAATAGCAATTCAGTTGTAATAATATATCACCTATCATTTTAATGTTGTTAAATTTTACTAATCTGTAACATAGATTTATAAATCTGTTTTCATTGTACAGTATATAAGAGTAAGCACAATTATGAGGTTTCATGTTGTACATATTTAAGATCATAAAATGTCAACACGGGGGGGTTTCATTTCCATTAAAAGAAATCACTGAATGATTTATGACTGAAAAACCACTCTTTCGGAATCCCAAAACGGGCTTCGATGGTCTCTAAGTACAATGAAACTGATTTTGCGGGGAGATCAATACACTTCACCAGATTCCCAAGTAAAGTCCATAATTCAACAAATATGAGGAACCGGTTTCACAAAAGTGAATTTGATAACTTCAGTACCCACTGGAAAAGCAACATCCCTATAGTCTCTTAAGGTTCAAGGGGAGTATCTTATGATTTCAGTTTTCCACATCTGATGAAAAGTCCAGGATCAATTTCTGTTAACCATTTTAACACCTTCAACTAAGTATGTGTCCTCTGCTCAACTAAGCTAAGCAATTCTTTTGGTACTTTATTCTCATTTTGAAGTTTTCATTTATCTTTTACCTTGTTGGATACACACTATTCTGCCCCATAAGAGGTAAAGAAATAAGAAGCTCACAATATTACAGATGTAGATAAATGTTCCTTAGTTTTATTTAATTATTTAAATAATACTTTGTTACCAGTACACTTGAACAGATGACCAATCTGGTCAATGTTTGATACAAAACTGCCATCACACATGGTTTATTTAAAGGGCTCCATGCTTTTAATAGGAAACCTATCCCAGTTTTCTTCATTTCATTACAGGAAGTATTGGAATTCCAATAGTGGCTATGTATCACTGGTTACAAATGAAGAGTGTATTTCTATCCTTCTTGTCAGAACACTCTCAAAGAACAGGATTACTACTTAATTAAAAGGCGTAGAAGATTCAGTATCTAACAATGAAACCATGATTATGCTTTGCAAGTTAAATAGCCATGTATTTTCAAAAAAAGCCTATTAATGTAATGTTTTAAGAAAACTCATCTTCATAAATACTGAAGGGAATGGTTTTTTTTTAAAGTTAATATCTGAAAACGAAATTTGTAAAGGTTCAAAAAACACACATAATTAAATTTAAAAAAAATGTTTAAGAAGTTCAGAGAGTATGATCTTATTCAAATCTACCACTTTAAACAGTCAAGAAATAAAGTATACATAAAATAAACTGGTTAACCTCCTTTTGTCTCCAGCTTGCAAAACACAGGGAGTAAGAGGTGCTAATTAAATTTTCCTGTTATTTGCATAAATAACATGAACTTATTTCTAAAATCGTAGTTCAAGGCATTTGTAATTCTTGGATTAAAGAGAATATAAACTATTCTCTTTGACAGTATTTAATGGTAAAATTTATTTTAAATTTCTATTTTAATAATTAAACGTGTCCAATGTCAAAACTGTATTCATTCTGTTTTTCATACCTCTTCGTACTCTTCCCCCTTATACTTGACTTTCTTCTGCTGTTCCTTATAATCCAAACTCTATTTTTTAAAGATTCCACATAATTCCCAACTTCAAAAAATCTTCCCTGACACATTACTCCAGTGAATTTCCTACTCTTCAATTTTTTTTTATATAACCTGACATTTATTTACCATTTTTTTCCATTAAAATGCCTTTTGTCTTATGTGAATGTTGTATCTTTCCTACTGCCCTACTGCTACACCTAGAAATAAAAGAAGGTAACAAACAGCAATTTATTCTTATAGCAAAACCTGTATTTTCAGAATTAAAAAGGTTCCCGATATCTATACTCCCACTCACTGTTCCCAATACTTATTACTTAAACCCTTACAATATACTAGCAGTTTTCACTCAGTTAAAAGCACAATGATGCAATATTTTTCAATAATAGTTTTTAGTATCAAAGATCAATAATCTATAAAGGCAAAGAGGAGCTGGCATGAGCTGAGATCACATAGTAGCATGAGAGGGGCGGTGCCAAGCTCTTTTTTAACAACCAGCTCTCAATGGAAGTAACAGAAGAGCTCACTCATTACCTCCAGCACAGGGCCAGGCCATTCATGAAGAATCCACCCCCGTGACCCAAACACTTCCCATTTGATCCCATCTCCAACACTGGGGATGAAGTTTGAACATGAGATTTGGAGGAGTCAAATACCCAAATTACAGAAAGTGGGAAAAAGAAATTTTTGAAATATATTAACTATTTTCTTCTCTCTAATAGCATGAGTCCAAATAACAACCACATAAGTTAAAAAAAAAAAAAAAGCATTATTCATCTCACGGTGGTAAAAGAAACAAGCAAACAAAACCTAATAGCCCTTAAGGAATGAGTAGTATGTGCTCAATACCAAGCAAAAGTCTACTTATCTCTTTCAAAACTCACAGCACCACTAGGAGAGTGGTTCTGTTATTATTTACAGATTCAGAAGAAGAGACTGAGTTACTGGTATATTATGTAACTTACCCAAAATCACCCAATGTGTGAGGGGCAAAATAAATGCAAAATTTGCCTTTAGAGCCGAACAAATTACCCACTATGAAAGACTGTTTCTTGGTCTAAAAAATAATCAATTTCACATAAAACTAAAGAATAACACAGAAAATCAGGATAGAAGTTGTGATGGTTAATACTGAGTTTCAACTTGACTGGATTGAAGGATACAAAGTATTGATCCTGGGTGTGTCTGTGAGGGTGTTGCCAACGGAGATTAATATTTGAGTCAGTGGGCTGGGGAAGGTAGACCTTTACTCTAGACTGGCACAAACTAATCAGCTGCCAGCACAGCTAGGATATAAGCAGACAGAAAAATGTGAAAAGAGAGACTGGCCTAGCCTCCCAGCCTACATCTTTCTCTCATGCTGTATGCTTCCTGCCCTCAAACATCAGGCTCCAAGTTCTGCAGTTTTGGGACTCAGACTGGCTCTCCTTGCTCCTCAGCCTGCAGATGGCCTATAGTAGGACCTTGTGAATGTGTGAGTTAATACTTAAGAAATTCCCCTTTATACACACACACATACACACACACACACACAAACACACACATATTCCATTAGTTCTGTCCCTCTAGAGAACGCTGTATTACAGGAGCTATACTGAAAGAAAAATGTCCAATTAAGATAACAATAAGAATAACCATTTTTCTTTACTTTGAGCTCTCTGACAAAAGGTTCAAAGCGTATTACTTTAAAGTGGCAAGGCAGACAAAAAAACTACTACTTCTCTCACAAATGGCAACTCAAGATCAGGAGAGCCATCCTCAGGACTCACAATGATCTTTTCATTTAGTACAGATAGCAGTTCCCTGTTTACGTTTGTGAAGGTTTTTCAGTCATTTACAAATGAATTTCAAATACTGATTGTATTAAAAAGTATACCATAAGCAATGAACATATTTTTAAGTTATACTGCCTCTCCCTCTTTCCTCAAACTCTCAAAAACAAAAACAAAACAATTAACCTTTCTCCAAAGAGCTGGGATAAACTCAAACTACGTTTCATTTGAATCCTGCCACAACTGATTGCCCTAAGTAAGGTTTTTAAAGCTTCTCCTAAGGACAATAACTCTGGGGGCGGGGGGGGAATCTATTATTTTTCAACCCCACATCACAGTCTAGCTTTGTAATTTCTTGTCCAAAGAATTCTATAGTAATAAGAATTCGATAGTAATGCACTAATAAAATATCACTCACCCCATATTTGTTTCAAGAAAACAGCGTTATTATTAATCACATGACAATACACTGACTCTACACTTTTACATTTATGGTGGATACACAGCGCCCTCTGCTGCACAAGCTGAGTAAACATCAACCAAGTTCAAAGTATTCAAAAACAAAGCATGGGCCAAAAAAAAAAAGTCTGGGAAATCCATAATTGCGATGAATATTTTGCATTTCAGAACATTACTCTTGTATAGATTTTGACATTCTCTATATGCAGTGAATCATTTTCTTTCACACGCCCAGAGTTCTTAGCTGGATCATTTTCTATTTAATCTATATTTACAGGGTAGAATAGTTTGTCTGGGGTAAGTCCCCCAAAAATATCAGTGAAATGAAATCTGCATGTCTCCTTCTTCTGCTCCATCCCCCATATCAAAAAACTAGACACAGATGATACAGTGGAAGTCTGATTACAATTCAAAACCACTTTAATCTAAAGCGGAATCTTAGACTCTAAACCTGCTCGTGCTGGCAAATGAGAACAGAAAACAAAGGTATTATGTTTTGCAGAAAAACAGAAATGTGACTTGATTATCAAAAAATGCTCCATCAGCCATTGAAAGATTGGACAGTTACATAAGAGAACCCAAAGTTTTCAATTTGAAGGCATAATAAACTCAAAATATATAATGGACAAATCTTCATGATAGTTGAGGCATTTTTAAACTAACAACATTGGAATATATTTCCTGCAATGAGGCACATTCAAAATTAACTTTGAACTATACAAAGTCTATTTACAACATGTATGAAATGTAACTTAAAACCGCTTTGAAATACAGACTCTCAGTAAAAATGACTAGAGACACAAAATTTTTTAAAAATATTTTAAATTGTGAGAAGTTGAGGAATGCATTATACTTCTATTTGTCTTGACATACTCAGTCTCTCCTTATAGAATCTAATTTCATCCAAACCAAAACTAAAAATTTGAAAACATGTATCTTAGTAACAAAGATTTAAAATGCTAACTGCATAACGTAACGGGATGAAAGAATTACAGAGCAGTTAAGAAAAAATGAACTGCTGTTTTAACAGGAACAAAAGGTGCATCTTATTTATGCACATTTGAGGCTAAAGTTTTGCCTTGCAGTGAGCTGAGATCCGGCCACTGCACTCCAGCCTGGGCGACAGAGCCAGACTCAGTCTCAAAAAAAAAAAAAAAAAAGCAAATTTGGAGCACCCTCTAGTGGAAAACTGTTAACAAAAGCTTAAAGCTTCTGTTTCTAAGATTTAATTCAATTTCCATTAAACAAGACTGAGACCTGGGCCAAAAAAGTATATTACGTAGACTCTTCCTTCTGGTTTTACTCTTAAATACCCCCATTAAAACACGCACACGCACACACACAAATACACATACATGAGGGCACTTTTCAAAGTCCAAGAGAAAAAGTTTTACACTGTTTATCAATTTCCAAAAAAAAAAAAAAGAATTTTTGAATATAATATTACAGATGTAATATTACTTTTTATATTTAAGAATTTCATTGTAGTTGTAAATGATTACAATCTAGAAACAAATGGAATCATTTTTGTTGCTTAACTCTTGTGGTTAAAAGATTCCACCAATAAAAAGAGGTAGTGAAAATAACACATGAAACTTTCAAATTACAGCTCTCTCCAAACACACCATGATGTTTATTTATAAATATCCTCTGCTAAATTAGCAAATCAGCCAAGAATCTCCATGAAAATCAGATTATATTCTTTTGGTCTTGTTTATTAAGAAGACTGACTGGCTTTGACACAGACACGACATGACACATGCAAGTTCGATCAGATGATTTTCCATATGTAATAATTAAAAACTGAATATATGACATTCCAAATTACATAAATTAATAGGGTCATTATATTAATAATTAGACTATTCTTGATGTATTATGTTAAATTATTATCACAATTTGGAGAAATACAAACAAAACAGAAAATGTTTTGAGAGACCAATTTAAAGAGTAACGTAAACATCTGTTTTCTGCAGAAGGCTGAAGAAACTTGAATTATTTAGGCCAGAAAATAAAAAGGATCATGGAAGAACACAAGTATTTATTCATCATTAATTCAACACTGACTTATTGAACACCTTAGCTAGGTGTTGTTCAAGGTCCGGAGGCATGGGGTAACCCCAACGGACAAAGGTTCCTGCTCTCATGGAACTTGCATCCTGAATGGGAGAAGACAATGATAAGAACTCAACAAGCTCTAGGAGAGCAAGGATTTCTGTTTGTTCTGTTAACTTTGGTATTCCCAGCATCTACTAGGTGTTCAATAAATAGTTGTTGAATTAAACAAAAAAGGTAACTTCAGTTAGTGATAAGTGCTATAAACAAAACAGTAATAAGTAGAGAGCACTGGAGGAAGAGGCAGATATGTTATTACAGATCAAAGAGTTAGAAAGGGCTTCTCTAAAGTTATGCCATTAGAATTTCAACTTAAGTCAGCCCAGCAAAGATCTGAATAAAGAACTTTCCAGAAAGAGAAAATAACAAAGGCTCTTGTCTGAGGCAGGAGTGGTTTGACATTCAGACAAAAGCCTGCCTGGACAAGCCACAAGGCCCCAGTAAAGAGTTCAGATTTCATTCAAATTGTTTAGGCAACATGTATTGGTTGCTTCAAGTGGGGTGAAAGTAGTAAAAATGAAGAGACAGTAGGTAACTTCATGATGTATTTTGGAGTTGAGGAGTAGATAAGATTTGTTAATAGGTTCAGTATATGAGATGAGGCCAAAAGACATATTAAGAATGACTTTGAGGTCTAGAGCTTGAACAACTGTGTAGGTGATGTTGCTATCTATTGAAACGGGAAAATGAGGTGAGAAGCAGGTTTTAGGTAGGTAGTAGAGGAAAGGATAAACTTTTACAACTGGCCATATATAATGACAATTTCAAGTAAGCAGTTCGATATTTCAATTTGAAGGTAATGAAACGGACTGAGGTAAAAAGCTGTAAGTTTGGAAGCTGTCTGCATAAAGATAAACACATAGGGCTAAAGAGTTGTCAGGACAAAGGGCGCTGAGAATGATTATCGCACAGAACCCCAAGGGGAAAAGCAAATAATTAAAGGTAGATATTAAAGTGAATTAAGCACACTTTGTAAGAGAAAGGACATTTTAACAATCTAACTAGAGCTATACAGTAAGAGACTGAGCTGCTTGTATCCATTATGGGCTTTCCATAAAAAGAGGCATTTCCAGTACAGCAGTGTGTGCAAAACGACCATCTGTAGGATTATTACTAAAGCAATTCTTACAAGGGAAAGGACTATCCCTCTTCCAAGGTAACATTTAAAGGAATTTTTAAGACTCTCTGATTTATCTTCACTTATGTATCTTTTTTTTTTTTTTTTTCCAGATGGAGTTTTGCTCTTGTTGCCCAGGCTGGAGTGCAATGGTACGACCTCAGCTCACTGCAACCTCCGCCTTCCAGGTTCAAGCAATTCTCCTGTCCTAGCCTCCAGAGTAGCTGGGATTACAGGCATGTGCAGCACGCCCGGATAATTTTATATGTTTAGTAGAGACGGGGTTTCTCAATGTTGGTCAGGCTGGTCTCGAACTCCCAACCTCAGGTGATCTGCCCACCTTGGCCTCACTAAGTGCTGGGATTACAGGCGTAAGCCACTGCGCCCAGCCACAATTTATCTTGTTAGTAAATAGATTCAGGGGTAAAAACCATGGGCAAATACAATGTATGTCTACTGGTAGCCATTAATTGTTACCTGTTTTTGTTAGCAAAAGGTTATCCAAGTGCCTGTCTCCAACTCCAAGTATATACGTGATCACGCAATATCCAGCTGCAATAACAGTTAAAAAAATGTGAAAACAAATGCAAACCAGGTTATACATTCTACTGAATATAAAAGCAGTTTGTGCAACTTTATTATCAATTGTTTTCTAATGTCTCTGGTTTCTCACCTAAATTCTCAAATATGCAATCTTTAACTCTATGTCTGTCACTTGAAACTCAAAGTACTATTTAAAACAGAAAATCTTGCAGAATTCTGTGAAATTACAAAAGTCACTTGCATCAAAACTTAAGTTAGGTTAAGGAGACCTTAATTATAACATGGGCCTAGCAATTCTAATATCAAATTGGACACAGTTAAAGATGACATCAAAAAAGAAGTATCTACAGAAATACACATAATAAAGTCAACTGTCAATTATCTCATAACTCATAACCATGTTATCTATAAGATAACATAAGTAAATGCAGGGTTAAATTTTTTTTAAGTCTGTGGAAAAATAATCTTGACATGGAAGCAGATGGAAAACCAAATGCATTCATTTGAGTGGTAAAGACATTTATGAAGTTCACACAATAATCTTCTAAAGCATTAAGAAAAATTATATGATCAAGACTAAAGGCAGAGGCATTGGCTCTAGCTGTATTGTTTTCTTTTTCTTCTAAAAAAAAGTCTGAAAATTTAGCATTTATTGAAACTACTTACACAGAATTTAGCAAATAGCACCTTTTTGGAGGTTTTTTTTTTTTTTTTACTATGTTTATTTCTACCATTAATAACCTGACAATAAATACAACTTGTACACATATAAAATTATAGCAATATTTACCAAAACCTGTTTATTTCAGCCCATGTGTAAAAACAAGATGGGACGACCTGTTAATGAACTTACAACCTTGCTCAAATTCAGTAAATAATACGGTTCATTTGACTCAGGTTCTGAAGGCCATTCCAGAAGTCCAAAAGCAACTTAAGCAATGTATCATCATTGGAAAAATAGTATTAATAACAATCACAGTTACAATGTACTGAAGGCTAGGCTCTTAGCTAGGCATATCATATTCATCATTTCTAACCCTTTTAATGATGCCAGTTAAGTATGATAACCATCCTTCAAATGAAAAACTTCAGGCTCCAAGAATTAATGGTATTGTCCAAAGTCACTGGGCTGGAATTTGTGTCCAATGAAATGTAAGCAAATGTAGATGCATGGAGAGCAGTTTTAAGCAAAGGGCTGACTCAGCTAGGAGGTTAGCCCTTCAGGCCTTTCCTCCTTCCTGTCTAGATTGCAACATCATGACTGTAGTTGCAGCAGTTATTTGAGACCGTAAGGAAAAGGGCAAGAGAATCACAGAGCCTTCACCTTGCCCTAACCACCTTAAATAGTTGGAACAACAGCAACCTCTTACAACTAGTTTTGTCACAAAAGAGAAAATAAACTCTTATGATTAAGTCACTATATGTACATTATGTTAACTGCAGCGGAATGCAATGATAACATTTAGTGGTCCACTGAGGAGGACTTAAAGGGTATCTAGATGAAGGGAGAAAAAACTACGGCTTGTTGACCAAATCTGGCTCCCTTCAGTTTTTGTAAAGTTTATTTGAACACAGTCTTACTCATTCATTTACATACTGGCTTGAGCATTACAATGGCAGGGTTGAACAGTCACACAGATCATCTGACTTGAAAAGCCTAAGGGCGCGGTGGCTCAAGCCCGTAATCCCAGCACTTTGGGAGGCCGAGACGGGCGGATCACGAGGTCAGCAGATCGAGACCATCCTGGCTAACCCAGTGAAACCCCGTCTCTACTAAAAAATACAAAAAACTAGCCGGGCGAGGTGGCGGGCGCCTGTAGTCCCAGCTAATCGGGAGGCTGAGGCAGGAGAATGGCGTAAACCCCGGAGGCGGAGCTTGCAGTGAGCTGAGATCCGGCCTCTGCACTCCAGCCTGGGCGAAAGAGCGAGACTCCATCTCAAAAAAAAAAAAAACAGAAAAGCCTAAAATACTACCTGCAAAGCTTTGGGGAAAAGTCTTACTGACCCTTGATCTAGAGCATTGCTACACGAAATGTGATCCCACAGACTGGCAGTATCACTATCACCCGAAAGCTTATTAAATATGTAAACTCTTCAACCTTACCTCAGTCCTACTGAATCAGAATTTCTAGTGGCAGCAGCCACAATTCCATTGTAACAAGCTTTCAAAAATTACTATGCACACCAAAGGTTGAGAAGTCTTCTCTAAACTCGAGTGTATTAATGAACGTAAGAATCACCTGAAAATCCTGTTAGAACGCAGATTCTGATCACAGAATCAGGGCAAGGCCCAAGATTCTGTAATACAAACAAGTTCCCAGGTAAACCCAATACTGTGGGTCCACATATCACACTTTAAGTAGCACTGCTCTAAAACTGACACAATACATACAACTTCAAAACTGACTAAAGACTCCCCATTGAAAAATAACTAAGTGACTTACTGAGGGATATTAAATTAGATATCCCTAAAGAGAAACTCAGTAGAGTACCCTGAGAACACACGAGAACTTAGTACACTTAGGTTCTCTAATATGTGATTCTTAGAAATCTAGCTGCTACTCAAGGGTACTAAACTACTGATAACGTGCATATGAAGACAAGAGAAACTCCTGCAATTTTCAAAAATAACATCACTGTACATCAGTGCAGCTGAGTTGTTCAATCCAGACCTACTCACTATTCTCATTTTTTTTTTAATTATAAAGTACAATTGGTTTTTGTCACTAATTAAGTTGTTTAGCTAGCTCTACAGAATACTGATTCACCCGTGTTGCAACAGTTAATTCTGACCTAAAATTTTCATGTAACTAGATATACATGAATTATGCTTAATTCTAATTATAAAGCAAAATATTTATATAAATGACTCATCATCAAATTTGTTTGAGAGTGATATTTCATTGTTACATGGAAATGGAAAATGAATAAGGGTCTTTTGCCCTGCCTCATTGGGTTATGGTCATAAATATGTTGGATGGTCATTCTGATAAATATGTTTAGTCAAGTGAAATATATGTATCAACATAGGGTCATATTTAATAGTAAAGATGAAAATTTAGAGTGCTTCAATAGTTTAAAGTGTCAATACTCAGTAGAGCACTTCAAACAAGGCTACATCCTGAAAAACAACAGCAAAACATTTGAGGTAAGAATGGGACAATCCTCAGAAATGTTGAAGAGATAATTAATACTCAGAATGATTTGGGCTGGGCGCGGTGGCTCACGCCTGTAATCTCAGCACTTTGGGAGGCTGAGGAGGGCGGATCACAAAGTCAGATGGAGACCATCCTGGCTAACAGGGTAAAACCCCGTCTCTACTAAAAAAAAAATACAAAAAATTAGCCAGGCATGGTGGTGGGCACCTGTAGTCCCAGCTACTTGGGAGGCTGAGGCAGGAGAATGGCATGAACCCAGGAGGTGGAGTGAGCCGAGATCGCGCCACTGCACTTCAGCCTGGGCGAGAAAGTGAGACTCCATCTCAAAAAAAAAAAAAGAAAATACTCAGAATGATTTAAGATGACCTGAAATAAATTTGCTAGAAAATTTTTAGGGAAAATTATTCTTTATACAATAATGGAAACACTATTTCTGTCCAAGAAAATCTTGTTAAAACAATATTGTTAGTTTTTTTACTCCATGTGAGATGCAAAACATCTTGAAATTGTTTTTATAAAAAAAACTTTGACTTAAAGAAAATTATAAAGACAAATAAACCACCGATCCTATTTCCCTTTACTTAGTAAAGATATGTGTGTATGTGAGAATAAACAGTATTCCCACATTTAGCTGCATGATACAGACTTTAATCTGGAAAAGATGTCACCAAAACTATTATCAATTGTTTTTTCTTACACCCTGCAAAAACCTTAAAACATTATTTTCTAAAATGGAAGTTACACACAGATTATTTTGTCATACAGGAAGCCATATAGGAAACAGAAGGCTATTCTAGATGAAGAGAAGAGCTGCCATCAAATCAGTTATTGAGGGATGAACACAGGTGAAATGTTGGGAAAAAAGGGAGAAATAAGATGTAATGTGAATCTAACTGTCCAATAGGTAAGATAATTTAAATTGCTATTCTTTCCCCATGAAAAAGTCAGTCATATTTTCATTAGCTCTTGGGGAAAAAATGGACCATTACACAAAAGACACAATGGTATGACATTAAGCACGTACCTGTAACATACCATTCTGATAATTTTACTAAATGAGCAGAATTTTCAAATTTTAGTCAATATTGACAGGGCAAGTGTATGTGCATGTACTTTGTGTGGAAAAAGTATTTCTTTATTAAACAGATTTATGACTTTAAAAGGTTTACAATAACTATGCTACAAGTAAAAACGTAAAAGATAATTATTTGGGGGTATGTAAAACACCTCATGTAAAAAGGTACTAAGGGAAATGGCCACAAATTCTGTGACATCCTTTTCATCCAGAGCTTGAATCTATATATATTCTGTCCCCTCACATCCAGGAAGGCTCTAGGACTGCTCTGAACAACAGAATATAACACAAGTGATATAGTACCAACTTCCCAGCCCCAGCCTTCAGAAACCAGTATTTTCCATTTCCTGTCTGTCTGAATATTTGCTCTTGGAACCCAGCTCTGAGAGGCCCAAGCCAGGGACAGGTCATGTGTAGGTGATTCACTATAAGCCTAGCTAAGACAGTATAATCTGCCAATCGTGTGAGTGATCCATCTTGGATGTTCAGCCTAGTTGAGCCTTTAGATGATATGTAATTTTTTAGATCACAGAAAACATAGACCTGAAACTCTGAGAAAAACAAAACAGAAAAGGGGCATTCAAAAGAAAGAAGGAAAACAAGAAAGGAGGGAGGGAAGAGAGAGAGAAATACAGAGTAAGAGGACAAGGAGAAACATTTTCTCTCAAAACCTTCAGTGATTTTAAGTCTTTAAATACTGCATGTAATCATGTTTATGAGCAAATTCAGTTACATGTAATACACATTTATATTCCTACAGTAAATACAAGAATTAAAACTATAAAGGATTGTAACATATACAAACACAATTTTATTTCCATATTCTCAAACTTCATTTTCTTTCTGTTTTTCAGACAAAAATGTATCATCAACAATAAATTTCAGAATAAGCTCCAAAATAATTTGGAAGGTGACTTCACAGGGGTGTTGTGAAAAACACAAAAATACTATGTATAGGAAAGCAACTTTTAAACTAGAAAACAACATGCAAGTTTAAATACAGTCTTAACAATTAACTAGAAAGCCCTCTTCTTGCTCTCCCAGCTTAAGTATAGGCAAAAATATGGACATAAGCATAAATATAGCACTTATATAAGTTATAACATATCATATACCCTATGCCATTCACGGCTCAACTCTAGTGCCAATTCCTTTATCAATCCTCCCTTAAACAATCTAATTATAAAAAACATCTAAATAAAAAAATAAACACACTGGGGATAGTGGCTCACGCCTGCAATCTCTGTACTTTGGGAGGCCAAAACAGGTGATCGTTTGAGCCCAGGAGTTTGAGACCAGTCTGGGCAACATGCCAAAACCCTGTCTCTAGAAAAATGCAAAAAAAAATCAGCCAGGTGTGGTGGTGCACACCTCCTACAGTCCCAGGTACTCGGCAGGCTGAGGTGGAAGAATCACCTGAGCCTGGGAGGTCCAGGCTGCTGTGAGCTGTGATTGCACCACTGCACTTTAGCCAGCCTGGGTGACAAGAATGTGACCTTGTATCCAGGAAAAAAAGCAAAAGAAAGAAAGAAAAAGAAAAGAAAAGAAAAAACAAAAGAAAATGAAAAAGAAAAAAACTCCTCTAGAATATAAGCTTCATGAAGTTAGGCATAAACGCCTGAAGAATAAAAATTAATCCCTATGTCACTTACTATATATTTCTAGGAAATACTACTACTGCTTACTTATTTCTAGGAATGGACCATAAGAACTGACTCTAAAATACCATGAGGGCACCCTCTTAATGAAGCACCATTATCTTAGCTCTTAAACTTTATCTAAAGCACAATTATTTCTGATTGAGACTTTTCCCATGGTCTACTTAGTTTCTGTTATTCAAAAAGGGAGAAAATCTAATGGAAAATTAACAGCTTCCAGGAAGAGATAAATTGCAATTATAAAATAGTTCAGTGATTGCAAAGATATATCCCTGAAGACTAAATACAATTTACATCTTGTTACTACTATTATGTCAAAGCATTAATGACTACTTTAATCAACATTTATCTTTTACTCTTCCTACAGAGCATTTAAATATTAACATGTTCTAAATGTTTATGATTATGGCAGTATCAGGATGGCCTGCTCTTCTTTATTTGATCAATGGAAAGTAACAGCCTGAAACACTTACCACAGCTTTTAACGTAAGTGTCCATGACCTCAGCACTAATCCCATTTGGCCCATTCTCACTTGGTGCATATTTTCTAAAAAAGTTCTGAAAAGACAAACAAACAAATTAGGTGTTTTGAAACTATAAACAATGACCAACAAGTGTCTAGTATAAAACTTAATCAAAATACAGTATGAGAAACGCTGACTGAACAAAAGAATTGTAAGAGTACAATAAATACACTAGAGTTTCCACTAGGGGAAACTGTGTATAATGCACCCCTCCCCCGCTCAACCCCAGATTACCAATTGCACCTATTCTTTTACATTTAGAGGCAAAAAACAAACAAACAAACAAAAAAACACCACAGACCATATTATCTGAAAATACAATTAACGTACTATTAGAAAATGAGTTTATCCTGGCCAGAGGCGGTGGCTCACGCCTGTAATCCCAGCACTTTGGGAGGCCAAGGCGGGCAGATCACAAGGTCGAGAGATTGAGACCATCCTGGCCAACAGGGTGAAACCCAGTCTCTACTAATAATAAAAAACTCAGCGTGGTGGCGGGCACCTGTAGTCTAAGCTACTTGAGAGGCTGAGGCAGGAGAACTGCTTGAACCCGGGAGGTACAGGTTGCAGTGAGCCGAGATCGTGCCACTGCACTCCAGTAAGGAAACAGAGCGAGACTCAAAAAAAAAAAAAAAAAGTTTATCCTATGTTTTCACCTATTTTGAATACCCTGTATTCTGACAAAGGATTTGCATCTGGAATATATTTTAAAAATTCCTATAAACCTATACAAAAAATATAAACAACACAACAGGAACATGGGCCATAGGAAGATGCGAACATGCACTTCACAGAAGAAACAAATGGCCTATACATAAATTTTCATATGTTCAACCTTACACATAATCAGGAAAATGCAAACAAACCAAAATGAGATACGAAGAATTTGAAGTTTGGCAACACTACGATTTTCCCGAAGATGTGTAGCAAGGAGAAACAAGAAGTGTTACAGTTTCAGAAAACAACTTTTAATTACTGAAAAACAACTTCTAATTATCAAGTAAAGCCGAATGTGATCTATGATCCAGGTAAATGACTTACACAGATCAGATGTGCAGCCAAGAGTCAGTATACAAACTGTCACCGTTTTCATTTTATAAAATCATAATTACACAAAACAACATAAGTAATCAAAAACTTTATGAAACAACGTTGGCAATTAGGACCCATGCTAAAAACTTTAAGTACACTTCATGTCCTCTTCAGAACAATCCTAGAGTAATATGGGTTATTACGGAAATGTTACAGATGCAAAAACTGTGTCTTGAGGGGTATGTTAAAGGGGTCCCCAGGACCACTGACAGGTTTGACTTGCTAGAAGGTCTTACAGACTAAACATGTAGCTGTATCATGACTAAGATTTGTTACAGAGAAAGGATACACAGTAGAATCAACATGGAAAACACACACAGAAAAAATCTGGAGAAATTCATACACAGGCATCCTAGCCCTCTCTGTCCTGTGAAGAGACACAGCGAGCTTCTTTTCCAATAGCCAAAAAGAAAAATTAAAAAGCAGTAACATTAGTGCAATGTTTCTGATAAGGGAAGCCCATTAGACTTAGAACCCAAGGTTTTAACGGGAACTGGTCACCCAGGCAACCTCTGTCAAGCAACTATAAAGTTCCAGGGTTGTTTAGTATAAAGCATATTATTTGAACAATCTAGGCACAGTGAACCACCCTTATCGATTAGGAAGCAAAGGGAACATGCTGAAAGCCAGTGACCAATCTCCTGGCAAGCAGGCCTTTCTAAAGATAGCAACCTTAGGGCTACCATGTTAACTCTTCTCTGCAGAGAGAGTGAACCAGTTCACTCAAGGTTACAGAGCTGGAAAGTAACATGGGTGGAATTCAGTCCCAGGCAGTTTGATGTCATAAGCCTGAGCTTTTAACCACTGCCCATGACTGTACCCCAAATCTAAGAACAGAATAAGCACTTGCTTTGCAAAAGAATCAGAGTAATACTTTTCTACAAATCTGACTCCCATACTGAATAAATGGAATAATTAAATAGGGAAAGGCAAAAACACGCTGTATCAAACATCTTCTAGCAAGCCCTTCTATGTTGTTTCTTTCATCTTGGGTGTATCAATTTTTGTTTTAATTACACGCCTTTTTTTTACATAGGGAAGCAGGAAAATTATATTAAAAAAAAAACAAAAATAAACCATTAAGATGTTACAAGAACTAATCCATGTATTTAAAGGGTAAAAAAAAAAAAAAAATCCAAACATATTCATTACTTTGTCACAGGAACCACTGACCTTTTCTCATATTTAAAGGGGAGCAACAGGTTGCAGGGAGAGGACAGGGGTCTTAAATAATTGTACAAAGGACAGATGAGCAACAATATCATTGTGGTAGTGTTCTGAGTAACAAAAACTGGAAATAAAGTGCTCATCAATTAATATCAAATAAATTACAATGTTTCCAGTCTTTGGAATATAATGCAAGTACAAACGTTAACAAATTTTAATTTGTTCACCAATTAACTCTGGTTTTTTTTTTGGTTTTTTTTTGACACAGAGTCTCACTCTATCACCCAAGCTGGAGTGCAATGATGTGATCTCAGCTCACTGCAGCCTCCACCTCCCCGGTTCAAGCAATTCTCCTGGCTCAGCCTCCCAAGTAGCTGGGACTACAGGTGTGTACCACTGTGCCCAGCTGATTTTTGTGAGTTTAGTAGAGACGGGGTTTCACCATGTTGGTCAGGCTGTGTTCACCAATTAATGCCTGATCCCTTGACACACATGCATTGTTCAAGGAATTCAGTATCTGCAGGTAACAAATGGAAGAATCTTCAACTGCAAACATGCTTACTTCTGAATAAAGGAAGAAAAAAACTTGAAGAAAGAAAAATGATAAAAGGAGACTTTCATTTTTAACTCTATGTTATAAAGACTGAATTTTTTATGACAAGAATATATTCACGAATTGCATAATCTTTATTCATACCATACCTGAATGCTTCCCTCTGTATCAAGAACTTCAGCCACAGGAACTGACTGGATAAACTGCATGAAGCCTACACAGAAACGTATGCAATGCATTAAGCATAGCTACTGGTTAAGAAAGAAAAATAAAGGTTCTGCTAAGAATAATCTTCATCTGTGAATAAATGCATTCCATATCTGAACAACTTAAAAAGATCTATGTACACTATATTGTTTGTACTGGCATTTATGTCATATGACCTATAAGAAAACATTAAAAAAAAATTAAGCTGATTTAGTCTGTATGGTTCTCTAGGCTGATTTCTATTATAAAACATGAGGAATGAAAACTAATAGTAAGCTTCTTAAATCTAGCATCAAAAATTTCTTCTTTCTATAGATTTACAACATATACCAATTAAAATATTCCAAATTTAAAATCACCATAAGAAATCTAGAATTGTGGATTACAATCACCTAATTCTAAAAGCTGCATGTAAAACTGTATGTAACGGCTCCTTTTGTCTAATATTCCATCTTCTGTCATTTCCTGGTAATGACAGATGTGTAAATCCCTTAAACTACCAAAAAAAACCAAAAGGGAAAGGGGACAGACAGTATGTGGGAGAAGGAGAAAAAGTCAGTCTGATAAATCTGAAGACAAAAGAAGCATAAAACAATGGATATATTTAAAAAATAAAAGCTGGATAAAGAAAACAATATTTCAGGATCATAAACTATCATGATCTGGTTCTGGTAAGCCTACAGGACAATAATTTGCATGCAAATTAGGAGAGTCTATACCCCTGTAGAGTAAGAAATATCTCATTTATTCTTGCATCATAAATACAGAATAGTTGGCACTAATTCACTTAACAGGTATTTATTGTTTCTTGACCATGTCGGAAGAAATTTGCCAAGTAAGTAAAAATAGATGCTTGACACTGCCTACATGGATCTTAAAGCTTACAAGCTTCACTGGGGTAAATACTATGAATAAAGGGTACTATGAAAGGAAGTAGTGTAAGGACACCTAACTTACAGTAGGGATCGAAGGACATCTGACATTTGAGCCATGTTTTCAAGGATAATAAAGTTAGTAGGCCATGGAGACAAGAATGTTCGAGACAATGATCACAGTGTATGTGAAGGCCTTAGAGCACAATGCATTAGATAAAAAGAAGGTAGCCAGTATGGCTAAAGCCCAGGATGCAGGGGAAGGGTGGTAAAAAGAAGAGGCTTGAAAGATAGATACAGGGTGTGTCACACTATGCAAGCACTTAGAAGCTAGGTAAAGGTTTTGGGGGTCTTTGTCCCAAGAGAAAATGAAAGCTAATAAATGATTTTTTGCAGGATCGTAAAGATGCACATTTGCACTTTTTAAAAGATCATTCTGAGAAGAAACTGAGAAGAGTAATTAAGGCATCAAAAAGATTTGGGAGTGGCCAGCGGAAGGACAGGAAACCTAAAGCATATATTTTGTTTCTCAGTAACTACTAGTATAAAGTAGGAAGGGTAGCAAGACTATGGAATTTACAGTAAGCATTAGGCAAGCATTCCTAGGGAATCTTCTACCAAACTTCCCAAGATTATTCATCTCCAAAAGACTCAGATGGTTTGTGCATGTGGATGTGTGTGTGTGTGTGTGTGTCTACAGGATTGTCAGGGATGTCTGAAATTTCCTGTTTCTCAGTAACTACATTAACCAGTAGTTAAATTAACCAGTAGTTAAATTAACCAGTAGTTACTGAGAAACAGGAAAGAAGGAAAGACAGAAGGGAGGCAGGCAGGAAGGTCCAACTTGTCTTCAGTGTTACAAGTGGAAATTATTTGTATCTCTAACATACTTAAAAATTTTCAATTTGAAAAAGTACACACAATGTACACTAAAGTAAAATAATGATGTAAAATAAACTTACCATGTTTTGTACTGGTGGCTAACACCTTATAAGGTGTCAATTTCAAGTCCAGATTTTCTTTCCGTAACAGCTTTTAATCAAAAGGTAAAATATATTAACCAAATGTACAGACTGTTAAAAGACACTTTTGTGGGCAAATAGTATAGCAGTTTTATATAATACAGATTTAGGAAATTAACCTAAATTAAGTTTAAATTAGTTAATTTAGGCCCGGCACAGTAGCTCACGCCTGTAATCCCAGCACTTTGGGAGGCTAAGGCAGGTGGATCACCTGAGGTCAGGAGTTCAAGACAAGCCTGGTCAACATGGTGAAACTCCGTCTCTACTAAAAAATACAAAAAAAATAGCTGGGTGTGGTAGCATATGCCTGTAGTCCTAGCTACTGAGGAGGCTGAGGCAGGAGAATTGCTTGAACCCAGGGGGCGGAGGTTGCAGTGAGCCAAGATCACACCACTTCATTCTAGCCTGGGCAAAAAGCGAAACTCCATCTCAAAAAAAAAAAAAAAAAATTAGTTAATTTAACTTTGATCATCAAAATTAAATTTATTAAGGACTCAGATGATGATATGCCAAATTTTTCATCTACTCTAAATCTCTGTTAGCAGTTTTCAATGAACAATAGGGTTGTTCCTATCACTTCCTGCAGTCCTTTCTGGCCACAGAGTACTTCAGAGCTCAGTAAAAGGGAAATACGGCAAACACGTACTTTTTAATGCCAGGGATTAAAAAGATTAAAAAAAAAAAAAGATTTAATAGACTAAGAGGAAGGAAACTACTAAATCCCATATTTAGAGAACTTAATTTGGAAAAAAAAATTAATGGAACATATGCAGTTCCACTTTACACTCAACACAAAAGCCATTCTGAAGTGTATAAAAGCAACTAAATTTTTTCAAGGTCAGGAGAGACTGTTGAGCTTTCTAGGATCGTACCTGAACGTTACAAATACTTCTGTTTCATAAACAGCAAATGTACTAAGCCACAGTCTTCCAAAATGAAAAAAATGTTCCCCACCAACATAAGGTCATGTTCACCTTGTCCATGAGTGAAATGATTTGAAGAATAAGTTGATCTTGACGTAAATCATCTCCATGCTTAAATATAACTGGATATTTGCCTCCATCTTCTGTCTTAAAAAACAACTGTGCAGGCATAAGGGCACTCTGGAAAATAAAAATATTGATTTCAAATTTGGCCATGAATTAATGCATATAGGTGTATTATACATACAAGAAAATGTTGATATATAAGATAAATACACAGGTAAACAAGACCTAAAAAACAAGTTGGGTTTTCAATGAGATACATTAGGGTATCTTGGAAAGAACAGTGAACTAGCTAATTGTCAGAAGACTACATGATAGAAGGCGCACAAGCTCTGCAATCAGTCATGTGGTTAGAACACTGCAAGCTCTGCCACATACTCGCTGAACAGTCCTGTGCATATTCTTTGTTTCCTCATTTGTAAAATAAAGATACCATCTCGTCTGCAGAGTTGCTAAGGCAATCAGAAACTGTACAGGTCTGGCATCATGCCTAATACAGAGATGACATTCTATATATACCTATCACCATTTTCTATTTTTAGAGGTATACTGAAATAAATAAGGTGAAACAGTATAGCATAACAACGTACCAGATGTAAAGTCAAGAGCCCTGGTTTTTAATGGCAAGTATACCACAGGTTGAGTATTCCATAACAGAAATGCTTGCAAAAGTTTGGGATTTTGGACTTCCCTGGATTTTGGAATATTTGCATATACATAAATAAAATATTTTACGGATGTGACCCAAGTTTAAATTTGAAATTCAATTACGTTTCACATACACCCTGAACACATAGACTGAAAGTAATTTTACACAATATTTTTAGTAATTTTCTGCTTGAAACAAAGTTCTGACCGTGTTTTGACTGTAATGTATGACATAAAGTCAGCTGGAGGATTCTCCACTTGTGGCATCATGTCAGCACTCAAAAAGTTTCAGATTTTGGAGAATTTTAGATTTTGGATTTTTGGATTAGAGATGCTCAATCTGTACTAGTTGTGCAGCTTTAAGACTCAAATTCCTCATTTATAAAATGAGAAGAGGTCTCAAATACTTGTATCTTTTATTCTGGAATAATTTTACGTTTTCCCCAGAGTCCTTCCCTTAATTATATGTAGGTCTAAATTAGTTTAGGTATATGTTTAAATCAATAACAACAACAAAAAAATAAAGAAATTAAATTCTCTTCAGAAAGGGAGACCCATACAAAACCTCACATGAAGTGGCATGTTAAGATGGATAGTCTGGATATAAATGGTTAGGAAATTGTTCTGAGAGAGAGAGACCCTATTGAGTTTGGTCATCGAGAAGAAATTATATAAGACAAAAATTTGGAGAAACATATTAATCCAGAGAAAAAAAAATGAGTCAAAGAAATTTAAAAACAACAACAACAAAAAAAAAATGGTAATAACCAAGAGAAATAATGGCGCAAAAAACATCATGCAGAAGGATGAAGAGATGTGACAAAACAAATGGCAAAATGTTAACGACAGAATTAAAGTGGTAGATACACAGTTGTCTACTGTAAAATTCCTTAAACTTTGCTGTATGCTTGAAAACTTTCCTATAAAATGCTGGGGAAAAAAAACCATGGAAAATGGTTCAGAGAATGTATGTTTAAAACTTACAAACTCTAGTTGGAATTCTGAACTTTAAATTACTTTAAATTTGGAATATCCTTTTATCACTCCTGGTGAAAATGTTATTTTATAAATTACCTTGAGCCCTAGTAATTGGAAATCTTCCTAAAGATAAATGACAGGTAGGAGAATCTTTGTTGTGATTTCTTTTTTCAGATTCAATTAGATTTCACCTAATTTAGATTTCGTCTGAAATTTAAAGCAAGAAGACAACCACAGGATAACTAGCACTTATCCCAGTGCCGTAAGGGGTCCACTCCTCATGAATATCCAGCTTTGGCTGTTACATTAAGGTGTACAAAATTACTTTTAAAACTACTAGAAATAAGGGTCCTTAGCCTTTTCAGCTCTAAGGAGCTCACACAAGGACAACAGGAGTCCAGAGATCCTCTGCAAGTGTATGCAGAAATTTCAGTGTATTTGTAAGCATATGGGCAATTTTCTAAAGTGCATAATCCACCACTTTCATTAGATTCTCAAAGGCATCCATGAGCCAAAGTAGCAACTCTCTCTACATAACTAATATTATATAGCAACTGCCTCAGAACCATTATTCCTGAACTCCAACTCAAAATTTTTAAGAATGCCCATATACTTAAGAGTTGAAAGAAAAATAATCAAGACTGAATATTCAGGTCAAAAAGATTTCCCATATTTTATGTCATAAGACATAATTATAATATGTTATAATTAAAAAGAGTATGAGTCTAGAATCCACCTACCAATAGAGGGAGATACATCTTCTTATACTCCACTCTTAAAACCCCTGCTATATGTCTTAGATACTCTTTTCTACCATGGTTGGAAAAAAATGGTAAAATTACTTTTTTGATTCACTGCTCTTGATGAGTCCTTAGTGTTCAAGAATATTAGAAGCTGGTCTTCTTTGGGAGTTCTAGCTCAAAGGAATGCCAGTTGTTATATGTATATTACCTTGTGTATAGCTTTTTACATTTCAGTCTCCAGTAGACTGCAAGCACAGACTAAAAAAATTTGCATGGTATCTCCTATACCAGTATTTTCAAATTGCATATAGTAATACCAGTATTTTTAACTTGCAGGTTGTAATCTGTTAGAGAGTTTTAAAACCAATAAGTTATAAGCAACATTTAAAATTAAAGCAACAGAATAACATTTAAAATAATAGAAACTATCCGTCCATAACACCCAGTTAAGGTTAGGCATTGCTTTATGAAACTTATGTTTTGGTTGTTATGAGCTGGGCTGCAACCCATGACCAAATACGAGGCTGCCTTGAAACATACCTTTTTAAAAAATGTGAACTATTTGCTACTATAATTACACCCCTGTGTATATACATTAGTTGTTGTTCTATGAGCCCTTTCTGAACTCATGTGAAGTTAATATTCAATGCAACTACGCCTTTCTACCACTAGAACCACAAAACATAAAACACCATGTCTCACAAAGATCTTTCAGTATGATGTTGACAGATAATGATGCTCTGGCCTTTGGCCCTTTGAGCCTGATTAGAGAAGGCAGCTGCATCAGCTGTTTCTACCTGAACTGGTGGCCAGTCAATAGAAAAAACACCAAGCCCGGTATGCTATTAAGGACTAAAGAGAATTGCCACGTGAAAATATAAGAAAAAACTTAAGGTTCTATAAGAGGAACAGATGTCAGACTGAGAAATGTTAAAAAAGGTCAACTGGGACTCGTATCTAACCATCTGAACTCATGAACTGAATGAACGCATGATATGTCTGCAATTTGCCCTGTTAAAAAAAAAAAAAGTTTACATAAAGAAAAGTAGTTATGGATCTGATTAACAATTAGCTCAAAAAATTAAATATTATGTTGGGTATAGTGGCGCATGCCTGTAATCCCAACACTTTGGGAGGCTGAGGTAGGAAGACTGCTTGAGTCAGGAGTATGAGACCAGCCTGGATAACAAAGTGAGGACCCATCTCTACAAAAATAAAACAATAAAAAAATTAAATATTAAAAAACAACCCAGAGATATAAAAGTATTTCACATATCATATAAAAATGCCCATGTACTGTAACAAAAGAAGATCTTAAATCGAAACACACTGATAAATGAAAGGTACCCTTTGATCTAGCATTTACTAAATCAACTAGAATTACAGAGATGATCTCTGCAATGTAGTAATTTTCCAAGGTAGTATCTCTGATCTAGTTTAAGATTTAGGTTCCAACCATACACATTAAATATCCACCACAATTACTTTAAACAGTGTAGCTGTTTCCGGAATTATTCCTCTAATTTTCACTTGGGGTTCTAAAGGCAACGGGATAAGTTCCACATCTGACAAATTCATCTTTTCATTATCTCCAAGCAACGCCTGTAGTCTCTCATTCTAGAACAAATCAGAAAGGATTAATTAGGTTAAAATAGAAGAGTATTTTATAAAACATACAGTAAAGACATAAAAATTGATTCTATTAACTTAAAAATATTTGCAGAGCACCAAAGTAATATAAAGGACATAGTGTTGTATGTGAGAGAAAAGCACGTATAAATAATCCCTAACCACAGCAGTAGCATGCTTTAAACCAAACAATCCCTAACTGTGAAAGGCTGGACTTTCACAAGAAGGACAGAGAATATATTTCACTTGCTAAAGCTGACAAAGAATCAGGAATTTATTCAAGTTGGACCTAAAGATTCAATTTCTGTTTCCAAGGACTTGTGAAGCCACAGAGAGAAACTGAAATTTCATTCAAAGTTTAATCTTGCATGACCAAATATTAAGCAAAAATTTCATTAGGCTGCCCCAGTGCATTTTTTGAGTTTAAAAAGGAAACTTAATTCACTTGGAGGAACTATAACCCTACTTTCTAACTTTCACTGAGTCTGTACAGTCAAACTTTTCCTAGGATATCATCATACATTTTCTTCAGCTCATATACATAATGCATTAAGCTAATATTTCAGAAACTAAGAAATTCAAGTCATGATGAAACAGCTTTATCATTAAGCAACATCTATACTATTTAGAAGAACCCCTTCTATTCAATTTCAAAAGAACAATCAATTTCCTTTAAAAGCTGGGAAAGTCTTGTAATCTTGAGGAGCAGGGCTTGCTCACCTAAATAGGTGAGTTTGTTCTTCAAGAGGGAAAACTCGACATGACAATCCCAGCAGCATAAAACACTTCAACTATGATGCTACTGGGAAGCTGAAGTGCTTTGTGCTGCTGGGTATGCCTCAAAGGAGAGAACTCCGGAATCAGTGAAAGAAGTTCAGAAAAAATAATATGTTTCAAGGACAAAGAAGATTTAAAATTAAATTATTTCCCTTCAGTAATAATCCCATCTCCTCTTGAATGATGAAAAGTTCAAGTTAAAATCAACTGAAAATCAACTGGTATGAATTTCTACATAAGTGTTACAAAAATCACTAAATCTACTCCTTAACTAAATGGATGGTCAGATCTACTAATGTGAAGTAATATCAACTAATTTGAGAGTAAGGTATCCTAGCTTAACAAATTTCTAGTTGATGTGCTGATTAAAATAAATAAATAATCAGAAAGTAAAATAAGAACAGGGTGAGAAATCTAGCCCTAAGAACCCAGCCACCATGATTTCTCATCTTGATTACTGCAATAGCCTCCTTTCTGATTGCTCCTCCTCTTCAAACTTTTCACCCTCCTAGTTTCTTATCAAAAGTAACCAGAGTGCAGCTGCTAAAATGAAAGCCAGTTCACGTTACCCATCTATTCAAAACCTCCAACAGCTTCTACTCTTACTCAGTGTTCCAGTCAAAATAATATTGACTATAATGATTTACAAGGATAAATTTCATCCATTTCCCAATTATCTCTAACCTCATCTCCTATTACTGTACCCATTCCCTCTGCTCCAAATACACTGGGTTTCTTCCTATTTCTCACAACTGCCACACATGCTCCCACCTCTGGGGCTGTGCACTGCTATTCCCCTGGCTGGAACAATCTTCTCCAGAAGACCAGCTTGCTTTCTTACATGCTTCAGGTGTCTTTGTTCAAATGTCAATTTCTCAGGGAGGCCTTAACCTGGCCACTCTGTTAAGAAGTGATACACTGCCTTACTACTGGACACAAGTACTGCCCTATTCCCCCTTTCTGTTTTATTTTTCTAGATAACACATAACACGATCTAGTACACTACACACATTTTACTTACTTATTGCATTTACTCTCTTCAGTGAGAATATGATCCCCATAAGTGAAGAGATTTTTATATTCACTACTGTATCCCAAGAACCTAGAAAAGTGCTCTGCTCAGAGTAGGCATGCAATACATATTTCATATTGGTAGAACACATAAATGAGTAATATCCCCTAAAAAATCATAAAGTGAAGAGAGACTACTTGTAATATTAACAGTGAAAGTGTTAATATATTTTAAACGTAGATGGAAAAGATGGCCAGGCGCAGTGGCTCATGCCTGTAATCTCAGCACTTTGGAAGGCCGAGGCTGGCAGATCACTTGAGGTCAGTTCGAGATCAGCCTGGCCAACATGGTGAAACCCCATCTTTACTAAAACTTAGCCAGGCGTGGTGGTACACACCCGTAGTCCCAGCTACCTGGGAGGCTGAGGCAGGTTAATTGCTTGAAAATGGGAGGCAGAGGCTGCGTGAGCCGAGATCATGACACGGTACCACAGTTCTGCAGTCTGGGCGACAGAGCAAGACTCCGTCTCAAAAAAAAATAGTAGATGAAAAAGGCATTTTATTAGAATTCAAATATGTAGACTCAGACCTCTTCTAACATAATTTTTCCTAAACTAGAGATCAACGAAGGAAAGAAGACAACAACAATATTATCATTTTCTTCACTCATCTGACACTTAACTCAGGGATTACTCTGCCACAGATCTAACACTGCTATATCCACTGTGATATAGCTCTCGCAAATAAATTATGAGGGATGAAAAAGTGCTACATATGATTTTATATGATTAGTGGCTATTTCAATATTACTAGTATTAACGCCAATAATGGTAGTAGAGAGCTCTCTCTGCATTTCTTCACGGTGCCGGGGCTTGTTTCTAGTAAATATATGTAAATAAAATTAAGTTTGTTTTTTACCGTATCATGATAAAATGCCTATAAAGATTTTCAGCCAATATGGAAACTATATTTGGGATGGTCTGGCTTAAAATATAGGCTATGTGAGAAACACAAAATTTATTTGGGGAGACTCTGGGTGATGTCTCAAATAGGTGGTCAGCCTCCAGAAGAGCTAAAACTGAGGTGCTGCCAAGGTTCCTGTGTCTGCTAAATTGAAGAGCTCCTGGCACTAAAACAAACTGGTTTCAAATATAAGCTCCAAACTGCAGGTCAGAGCAGCAGACACTCCCTCTGCTGGCGGGCATTTGGGAATCACACTGTTTCCCACACAGGCACCTCTGGGGAGAGGTGCTACGGCGGGAACAGCAGTAGAAATGTATTTATTTGATCAAGGTTTGTGATTCTTCTCAACAACAAAGAAAATGTCAACTCAACAGAACTGTGTTTCCTCTCAGCCTGTTTTCCCCTCTCTAACCTGCTGAGCATGACTCATTACTTCTTCTACACGGCTCTGCTAGCATTTCTCTTTAGACCTGATTCTTTGCCTTTGAACCACTGACTCAAATCTTCATCTTTTCCTCCTCTCTCTGCTTTCCTTTAAAAGTCTAAAGAACAGTAAAATGTGTTGTTTTACAAAGGTCACCAAGAAAGGCCTGCCAATTATCTAATGGAATTAGGAACACATACCAAGTGAATCCTTCGTATCATTTAGGCTACTGATCAGAAAAAATGACAGGTGAAGAACTCATCTACTTCTACCCATCAAGTGGAAACCTCAGAGTTGAGAGAAAGCCTGATGTACTAGCCAGGAGAGAAGAGATACAAAGCTAGTGTTGTTACTAACAACCAGTTCTGAACCCCTGGGCAAGTTACTCTGGACTTTTGTTTTCTCAGAAGAGTTCTAGTCTAAATGATCTCTACAGATTCTTTCCATATCAAATATATTGTATATTCTAATTTGCTAAAATGAGAGGTGGTAAAGCACTGTGGATAACAATATGGACTAAGAATGTCTGAGTACAAATCCCCACTCCAATATTTACTAGCTGTATGACATTAAACAAATTAATTGACCTCTCTTTACTTTCTTCTCCTCACAATTGGGATAATAATAGGTCCTAACTTATAGGGTTGTTACGAAGACTAAATATATCAATATATATAAACTCATATACCATTCTTATTACTATAATTTCATGATAAGAAGTTCACATAATATGCCGGGCGCAGCGGCTCACGCCTGCAATCCCAGCACTTTGGGAGGCTGAGGCGGGTGGATCACCTGAGTTCAGGAGTTCGAGACCAGCCTGACCAACATGGTGAAACCTCACCTCCACTAAAAATAGAAAAATTAGCTGGGCATGGTGGCGGGTGCCTGCAATCCTGGCTACTCGGGAGGCTAGGGCACGAGAATTGCTTGAACCCAGCAGACAGGGGTTGCAGTGAGCCAAGATCGTGCCACTGCACTCCAGCCTGGGCAACAGAGTGAGACATTGTCTTAAAAATAATAATAATAATAATAATAATAATTCACAGAATATATCAACCCAAAAAGACAACAGTGAAAATTCAGTATTTTCTGATGCTAAGACGCTATTAAATTATGAACAAAAGCATACCCCATAGGCTTACCTTTTTCTTACGATTTCCACTTTCACGTTGTACTGCCTTCATTAGATGCACCAACCGATCTACAAATGTCTGTTGTGCGGCCAGCAAAGAACGCATAACTCTGACAGACTTATCACCCTGAAGGGTTCAAAGTGAGAAAAAATTAGTTCTATGTAGCGTAATGATCAGGGTTTCTTTAACAGCATGGATAATCCTTATTTATATTTCTCATAACTGTAAACTTAAATAGAAAGCAAAATTGAAAAACATTATCTTGATTCAAAAACGAGAAACCCTGTATCTTAGTTACTGACAACACTAATCCATCCACAACTGAAAATTATCTGAGTCTTCAGCAAATACTGGTCTATCTACAACAGCATTTTTTTTTCCCACATAAACCATGTGACAAGATGGAATTCATTCATCCTAAAATACATTCACTCATTATTTGATTCAACAAATATCCAATGGCTTCTGATGCAGAAATGTGCTGGACATATATACATAAATATGGAAAACAAGAATATCCAAGAAACCAAAGATCATAGGTCTTCAAAGGAACCAAAAATCAAATTTATCTTAAGATACAAAAGCGGAAAAGTTCATAATAGCACCATCAATAAGTGCCTTCAAAAAATAAAAAAAAAGTCAAATAAACAAATGGCTTATATAATCTATGCTATACGGTCTTATGTAGTGATTCCTAGTTCATAAAATATTATAAAATACATTTCTAATTTAATCTTCCCAATTACCCTGGCAAGGGAAGCTGGGTAAATGTTATCATCCTCACTTCGAAGATGAGGAAATTTAAACTTGAAGAAACTGAAGTGTCTTCACAGGGTGACAAAGGCTGTAACAGAAACGAGATTAGAAGAGAGGACCAAGGGCTTATTTGCCAATCAGTTTGATGTTCAGAAGCTCTGGGAATGAATACAAAAGCTTAGTCCCAAAGTGTTGAATAAGATGTGATTTACATTTTTAAAAGCATGAAACATGCAACAGATGAAAGATGCCATGAAATAGACTACTTCTGCGGCAAGGCCCAGATTAATGGGTGGCAGCTTTCTTTTCACTGCCCTTGCACCCTCTGCTGGCCGAACTGTGACACTGCTTTAAGAATCAAAAGAACACAGGAAAAATAAATCTCTCTTAAAAGCTGTTGAAAAGGCAAAAATACGTTATTTAAAAAGTATCTGCAATATGACCATTGCCAGATTTCTGGAAATATACACAGCTTTGATAAGAAAGATACACAATAGAAAGGAAAATAAAAAAGCAAAGCTCTTTCTTTTTTAACTCCATGTACAGGTTTATTTCATTAAATTAGGGATCAAGAAAACTTCTGTAAAGGGTCAAAGATAACATATTTTAGGTCTTCTTGGCCACGCAGTTTTCATTCCAACTATTAAACTCCTATTGAGTATAAAAGTAGCCACAGACAATATAAAATCAAATGAGTTCATCATTCTATTCCAATAATTTATTTATGAACACTAAAACTTGAATTCACATAATTTTCATGTATCACAAATTATTTTTCTTCTTTTGATTGGTTTTCAATCATTTAAAAATATAAAAACCAGGTCGGGTGCAGTGGCTCACATCTGTAATGCTGGTACTTTGGGAGGCCGAGGCAAGTGGATCACCTGAGGTCAGGAGTTCCAGAATAGCCTGGCCCAACATGGCGAAACCCTGTCTCTACTAAAAATACAAAAATTAGCTGGACATGGTAGTGGGCGCCTTTAATCCCAGCTACTCAGGAGGCTGAGGCAGGAGAATCTCTTGAACCCGGGAGGTGGCGGCTGCAGTGAGCCGAGATGGCATCACTGTACTCCAGCCTGGGTAAGAGAGCAAGATTCCGTCTCAAAAAAATAAAAATAAAAAAAATATATAAAACCACTTTTAGCTCATGGGATGTTCCCAAACAGGCAACAGGCTGAATTTGGCCCATGCACTGCAGTTTGCCAACCCCCACATTTAATGGTTACCTTCAACAACGCTTGGCTAAATCTTCTCATTACATTCAAGTACATCTCATGGGTCTTTGGATCCCTCTGCTGGGTATCTTGATCTTCACATTCCACGATCACATACCTTAAAAATATGTTTGAGCCATTCGTGTGATGTGAAACGAAATTTAGATTCAGTTTGCAAATACTCATTATCATTTCACTAAAACAGGTTAATTGACACATGCAAAAATAATCAAATTGGAGTAATAAAACACATTTTATCATCTCTTTTAAAAGTGAAAAGTTACAGAGGAACACATACAACCATCAATAAAAGGTAAATTAAGAGTGATAATGCCTTCATTTGTGTAATATCCCAAATTTTCTAAAACTTTTGCCACCAAAACAAGCATTTTCTCCTATTTATGAGGTAGAGTATTAACATCCTCAGAAATCATCTAAGCTCACATATTTACTGAGTAACTCGAGAACAAAAACTATTATTTTCATAATCTGCATAATACTTTGGTATTACCTAAGGCTCTCTGATTCTGAAAACCTCTCTGAAGCTACTCCTGTCACTTAAATTTTTGAAAGATGAATAAAATTTTAAGTAATTTTTTCTTTCCCATCCAGTTTCCCGTTTTTCAAAGATTCATACATAACCTTTAACTTCCCAATTAAAAAACTATGGTTTTAGAGAGTAAAAGACATTTTAAATGTTTTCTTAAACCTAATCTGCTTATACAATTATAAAAATCATATAAGCAATGATCTGAGTAAGATTTTATAGGTTTTCTAATCCAGTGTTTCTAAATGTTCCAGTGGGAACAAACCAAAGCAAATAACAGGTTGGGCATGGTGGCTTACGCCTATAATCCCAGCATTTCTGGGGAGGCCTAGGAAGAAGGATCACTTGAGGTCAGGAATTTGAGACCAGCCTCTACATTTAAAAAAAAAAATTAAATATAAGCCAGGTGTGGTGACACCTCCTACAGTTCCAGCTAAGGAGGTTGAGGTGAGAAGACAGCTTGAGCCCATGTGAAGCTGCAGTAAGCTATTGTACCATTACACTCTAGCTTGGGCAACAAACGGAGATGGTACCTCTTAAAAAGAAAAAAAAAGGTATCACAGCTTGATACACACAGCCACATATGCACATAGATGCATAAAACTGAAAAGTTTCACAAAGCAACATCCTGTGAACAATATGTTAATATTTGCTATTGTTTATTTTTCTTTAAATAACAAATGCTAGACTGAAACTTTAAATTGCTTTCAGTGAATCATGATGATGTGTAGTTTGAAAACCATCAATCTCAATCAACTTGCTTGCTTTATCAACAGTGAAACTTGGGCTGTGTCTTGTCTATGGTGGTATGATTGATTATAAAACTGAGATAGAAACCCAGGACTTTGGGCTCCCAGGTCAGACTTTTTTGATTTTACTAAGTTGACTTTCACACTGTTTTATCCTTAAAACACATACGAAACTTTTCAATCTTCTTAACTGTGAATGTTTCCCAAATCTCAAGTCACGGATGCTTATTATTATCCTTTCTACTATTTCTGGGAGAGTATACTCTGTATTCAGCCATTCAGATGGTCGACTTCATGAGAGCAGAGGGCTTACCTGTCTTGTTCTCCTCTATACCTTCAGCATGTCTGGCTCGTAACAGATGCTCAACATATTATTAACATATTACTGTTGAATGAATAATTCCACTATTGTGGATTTAGGCCACTATCTCATTATTGATAATTTTCAAATATAAATACATATTCCTTTTTTACATCTAAGGTCTAATTTTGAATTCCATTACATGACCTGTTTTCACATTCATGCACCCTAATTTTCAAGGACCAGATCCCCTTTTCAAGACACTGTTTGTCATTTCTAACTGAACATGTGTAAAACCAAACTTATCACATTAAATGCATCTTTTTCTATCTCTATTGAAGGTACTAACAATATCCCAGGTATTTGGGCTAGGAATTCTCATGTAGGAGGGTTCACAAACTCAATTTTTCTCAAAAAAGCAGGCAGGAAACAAATGTTTGACTCACTTAAATAGAAGGAAAGAGAGAGAGGTAGGGCTGTAGCCAAACCAGAGAACACAGCACTACCTAAAACTTTCCTTGGCCCTCTGTTCAATTTGTGGTCCATGAATCTAACACTGTACTTTAAAACAAAAAACAGCAGTTCTAAACAGTGAAACTGTCAATATGGTATTATTCAACTCCAATCCATCCCCTTCTACCCTTTATAGTTGAAGTCCTTGATTGTCTCCGTCACCTTAGGGTATTCAGAATCTTTTCCTGTGTTTATGCAGTAAACTTATTTCCAAATGAACATATAGCTGACCATAATGTAGGGGCCCACTGCTGTGTCCTGCTCTTTCTGATCACCAAGTAAACACTATGGCTGCAGCTATTTTCTGTTACTGAAAATATATGTTGATGCTTATAATAAGTATCAAACACCTCTCAAAAATCATTCAAGCCGGCCAGGTGCGGTGGTTCATGCCTGTAATCCCAACACTTTGGGAGGCCGAGGCAGGAGAACTGATTCAACCTGGGAGGCAGGGGTTGCAGTGAGCCAAGATCGCACCCTTGCACTCCAGCCTGGGCAACAAGAACGAAACTTTATCTCAAAAAAAAAAAAAAAAGACACTGTCATCTCCAAATATGAGAGATAAGGTTAGCTATCAAGACTAGAAGACCTAGATTTGAATCATTTCTGAGGTTTCTGTTCACATCAATAAACTAGATTCTATAAAACACTCTAAGGTATTTCTTTGAAAGCTGTCATCTTAGAGTAGGAATGCAAACAAAATTGTCCAGGTACCCATTGTAAGATGACATCAGTGGGCTACCTGTTTCCTGGCAATTTTATTTTGTGGAGTAAATAACCTTTATTACTTTGAAAGGTCTTAAAAGTTATAGAAAACATGTCAAAGCATCCAAAGTTTACTTTCAACTTCAACATCCTAGAATGGCTATAAAAATAAAAAACTGCAACGATTTATAGATTCTGATGCCCAACATTTTACAGACTGGAGACTGTAACTCCCCTCTGTGGCTTAAAAGGTTGACACTATTCATTTTAAAAGGATTGTCTGCACACCTATAGGCCCCTAAGGATTTAGCTACAGCAAGAATCCTGTTTAAATCACCAGAAAGGGAACAAATGAAAAAAGGAAATTCAAATGTTCAAAGGAAACAGCACAATCAATTAAAATTTCTATTTTAATACATTTGTTATAATACAGTAGGCTTGCAGAAGCATTTATATTCTCACATTTTGTTATTTTTATATGTTCAAAGGAAGAGAAGAATGATCATTTTAAACTTGAAATTATTTCCCTTATTGTTACCTTACATTCACAAAAGCAGTGTCTATTAAAGACAAGAGTCCACACATCAATAGCTTTTCTCCCCATGAGTATTTCTGAATATGTAATAGGCAGACTGTAAATATGGGAAAAACAATTACTCCTTAGGGAATGAAGAGACACAGCATATGCTATTGATTCAATGAATCAGAGATATAGTGGGAAAACACAAATCAAATCTAAGTTTGATTGAATGTTTATAAGACTGGGAACTAGGGCTGTACTTTGTTTATAGGAAAAAAAAGTGTGCTCCTTATGAACAGAAACAGCTGCTATGCTGGAAACTTCATCTAATAGACTTCCTACTGTTTGGCTGCTTTCAGAAAATTCTTCCTACTTGAAATAAGAGATCAAAGATTCTATCAAAACTCATTTCAAATTTAATAATGAAATCTGGTCTACAATCAAACATAAAGAATATGTAACTTGAAAGCACTACATAATCAGTACATATACATATAGCTCTTACCATAGTGAATACTCTAGACTATAATTTCTGAGCCAGAGAAAAGTTTCTGTGAATATTGCAAGGAAACAAAAATACCTGTAAATGAATTCTTAGCAAATGATTTAAAAAATATATAAAATTTTAATTTAAATATACCTAAGAAGTTTCAAAATATTTACTCAAAAACTCAAGAAACATACCCCACAAATATTTTTTTCTCTTTACTTCCTTTTAAATATTTAGATTTTCATGAGGAAATATTTTTCCATAAGACCAGTGAATAGACATACCCTTAAGTATTCAGATTGGAACATAGAGAACATTAGAGGTAAAAGGTGACATTTAAAGGAAACAGTAGCAATTTAGCAATATGAGAATTTCTAAGTAAACCTTTCAAAGAAAAAATAGTGATTAACAATTAGTCAAAACCTCCTATATTTTCAAGGACATAATGAAATTTAACGTGAGGAAAATGTTGTTTTATGAATATTACATTAAACTGCTAAAGTAAAAGTAGGAAACTATTTTTCTTCCCACTACAGAGGCCAACAGAAAAAAAAACAAACAACAACCAAAAAAAAATAAACACAGGTTCCAAAGGGGAGAAAATCACTGATTTACTTAAGATTGTTGACAGTGGTTTTTCTTCATTGTAAAGAGAACCATAAAGGCTTAAACTAAACAAATATTTCTTGTTTATGTAAACTGAAAACTGTGTGTGTTAAAAGAGTGCTCCATAAAAAACGATGAGTTCATGTCCTTTGTAGGGACAAGGATGAAGCTGGAAACCATCACTCTGAGCAAACTGTCACAAGGACAGAAAACCAAACACTGTATGTTCTCACTCATAGGTGGGAATTGAACGTGAGAACTTGGACTAAGGGCGGGGAACATCACACACTGATGTGACGGAGTGGGGGGAAGGGGGGAGGGATAGCACTGGGAGAAATACCTAATGTTCATGACAAGTTGATGGTGCAGCACACCAACATGGCACATGTATACGTATGTAACAAACCTGCACGTTGTGCACATGTACCCTAGAACTTAAAGCATAATAAAAAAGAAAAAAAGAAAAAGAGTGCTCCAATTTAGTTACCTACTTCTTAGGTACAGGGGCAGTATCCGGCAGAGTGTTACCTCTGGAGAGCGGGAGAATGAAGTTAAGGCTGGACTTGACCCACAAGGACAGCTTCCCAAATCCAGTCTTAAAACAAAATAGTATTTTGTATAATTTTCTCACAAAAAGCAAAATACTTCATCATTATTCAAAAGTACCGGTTCAGCCATCTCTTAGTCAAAATGCTTGGAATCAGAAATGTTTTGGATTTCTAGTTCTTTTTGGATTTTTGAATATTTGCATTATACTTAGCACCTTAAATCCAAAAATTCAAAATCTGAGATGCTCCGAAGAGCATCTCTTTTGCACTTCATGTCAATGCTTATAGTGTTGGATTTTGGAGCATTTCAGATTTCTGGATTTGGTATGCTCATCCTCTAGTGAGCTTTTACGATGGACCTCTACTAATTTGTAATTTGTTTAAGGCTATAAACTGAGCAGTAAGATTAGATTAGTAATCATTTATACAATAAAAAGTCTCATGCCAAGAAGTTTAAAAAGTGATGTAAGCAGTTTTAAGGATTCTCCCAAAGGTAAAGAAGGCTTTAGGCAGGTCTTACCCCCCTGGCTCTGCCCTTTGTTAGCTCTGTAAAGCTAGATGAAGCCCTCTTATCTAGTGTTTAATCCCAGTACTTTTTTTTTTATTGAAGCAAAATATTTCTGATTGTGGCTTAAGCTACTTGTTTTTTCTCTTCAGGATTCTGTGGAAAATAAAGGAAACCATGCTTCATATTAACTGTGCCTCAAGAAGTCAGTTAGTCACTCTGTGCCTTAGTTTCTCTCTTTCCTTCAAGTGACTCAGGACATCGTTTTAATGTGAACTACAGACATTTACACATGCCCATTTAATTTCATAGAAACAAATGAGAAAAGGTCACTGAAAGTACCCTGAAAATGACAAAGCAGTAGAGAAATGATTTAATCCTAGATCAAGGTCTACCAAGTTCAGCTACAGCAAGCCTCTGCCTTGGTTTTCTCATGTTTAAAATGCCATAACTTTTAATTGCAACTTTCTCTTTTTAAATGATTCCAATGTTTTAGTAAATAATGTGAAAATACATACTCCTGAAGAACTGTGAAATATCATACTCAACTACTTTACATGCCAAACAGATACCAAACTGAAAGCACCCATTACCCTCCCCAGGTATATCTCAGCTCTTGGAAAGTTATATCCGTAGTGAAAGGGAGAGAAACGGCGGTGCCAAGAAGCGTTTCCACGAACCCAACTGTCATGGAATACAGCTAGATACAAAGATACTGTATCTAGACATTTGATGATTGCTCATATCTTATTTTAAATCGTCTTTGTGTTTACAGCATGAGAAAAATAATTCTTAAGGGTAATAAGAACATAAACAGAAAATTATTTTCACATACCAGTATAAATAATTAGCCAGTGTTGAGTTTTTGCAGGCTCTCGATATCAAGAAGGTACAGAGATCTTGCTGAAAGAATTAACATAAATGTATTATACATCACCATCTACTATTAAGGGGAGAAAATAAGTAAGTCTACATTTGCCTATCAGTTTTCATCTGTATATCTTATGTAACAGATCAGATTTTCTGCCATTTACCTACCCTTACATACACACATACAAAAATACTTTAAATCAGACAATATGCAAGTGGTTAGAATACTGCAGTTCAGAGAACTCCTTGTCCTCCTGGAGCTTCATATTGGTAGAGGAGAGAGACATTAAAAGAAATGGTCATGGAAATAATTTAGGTTGGGAGGTTAGAAAAGGCAGCAATGAAGGTATGACATTCAGGCAAGACCAGAATGACACTGGAAGACTCTAAGTTTGGCTTGTTCAAGGAATTTTAAGTAATGTAAATAAAATACAGTGAACACTGAAGAGACTGAAAAGATAGGCAAAGGTCAAAGTATGTGAGACCTCTAAGGTCACGTTATTATTGAGTATGAATTTTATTTTAAAAGCAATGGATACCCAACAAAGGATCTTAAGAGGAGAGTGAGATGATGTGATTTACATTTTAGGAAAATGACTGGTTGTCCTGTGAAGTACAGACCTGAGATCAGTTAAGATGCTACTATGGTAGACTAGGAGAGTAAATAATGAGAGTGTAGATGGTGAAAAGCAGACAAATAAAAGAAATATCTTGGAAGTATAATTAACGGGACCTGCTGGTGGAGAGGAATTAGGAAGGAAAGAAAGGAATTAATAGTAACTCCCAAATTGCTGGATTGATTTGTTATGGCACAAATGGAAATTTCAGACAAAAAGCTACCTATCTACAGAGTGAGAGGAAAGAGTTGTATTTTGAAATATTAAGTTCAAAATGCCTGTCAGATACACAATGGAGATCAAATACATGTTTGAATACAGGAATCTGAAACTCAGGTGAAAGATCTGAGCTAGAAATATAAATTTGAGTTTATTAATACAACCTAGGGCAAGAGTATTGAGTGAGACTAGAAGAGGAGCCTGAGGAACATTAAGATGTCAGGCAGAGAGGAAAGTGCTGACAAAAGAAACTAAGAAGAAATGGCAAGAGAGATGAAGAGAAAAACAAGAGATACACAGTATCACCTAAACCATGAGAAGAGTTAGTTTTTCAAGAAGAAAATTATTTACTTTGTTGAATACTCTGAAGAAGCTGAAAAGAATGTACAACCAAAAACATTAGGGTTATTTTGTAACTTAGCAAATTAAGTTTTAAGCAAGAGCCAGAATGATATGGAGTAAAGACTGGAAAGAAGGAAGAAAAGAGTATGTATTAACAACTCCTTTGAGAAGAGAAGTAAGAAAACAAGGTGCTGTTTCAAGAGATGTGGTTTCAAGGGAGAGTTTTGTTTTTCTGAACTTTTAACATGGAAAATTCTAACACATACTTGAGTATTTCTATCAGGAAAAGAAAATAACACATCTTTGAAGAGAGTTATGTTTCTTCTGTGTAAGCAAACAGAAGGAAAGTATGGGGGAGAAATTCATGTCTATAAAACCACTGATGGGAAAGAGACCATTCCTACCTAGAGGTTTCTATTGTTTCCATTAAGTATAAGGCAGAATTGTCATCTGGAGATTGGGAGGCGGGGCATGAGAACAGAGTGGAAATGGTATGAAAAATCACTGCAGGGCAGGAAGATCAACACGTCTAGGGACATGGAAGATGGCAGAGAGCAGTGAGTGCTCATGTGAGGTTTGTGATCGTGAATTTATAGTGACACCAACATGCTATGCTATGTGTTTTTCCTCAGCAATATTCAGGCATGGCGAAAGTAGGTAATTAATGAGGCTTATCAAGAGCTGAGATGTTTGCCAGGGGAACTGCAGGTACTATTAAAAGAATAACTAAAATGACAGCCATGGGATAAAAGCTATGTTCAGAGAAAAGCAAACATTGAAGGGAGGTGATGAATAATGAAAAGGATAGGGATCAACAGATTAGAACTTTTAATGCAGTAGGGGTCCTTTTGTAATTCCGAGTAATAAGAGGTTGTTATTACAAAATAGGTGTGCCAATGCTTTCAGTAAGAATTTTATCTCCAGTTTTAAAGCTTAGGTATGTATTTTAAATATGCATCAAAAATCCAATTTAAAAAACTCCTTAATCTGGAAGCCATTATACAAAGCTGAGTCCATGAGTTTAATAGGCAGACTATAGACCTAAAGTTCTCTTTTGACTCTCTGGCAAGAACATTATACTTTTGTACAGTGATGTATATATTTTAATAGCAAACACATTTCATTTCATACTATGCCCTTTTGATAAAAAAATTACTTACAGAACATAAAGAAAAGTTGAATTTTAAAAACTGTGAAGCAGAAAGTATGTATTGTAAATGTTAAAACTCAATTTGAGTAAGCAAGTCCTTAAGATTTTAAAACAGTTTAAAGAAAAAAGTGCTTTATAAAAAAAGATCACATGTTGTCGGTCACAGACATAAGAGGAAATGGTGAGGAAGGTGGAGGTATCCTTTAAGAAAAGTATCTCTAAGTATTTACTGAGTGTATACAATAATAACAATAATATTATCAAATCTGAAGGGAGTTAAATAACAAGACGGGGTGGAGTGGAGGGAGAAGGATTTAGCCAATGACAAGCAAGAATATATAATTTATATATACATAAGAAAGTATAGAAAGTACTACATAAGATAGTGAAATCAGTCCAAATACAGCTACAACCACAATACAAACAAATGGGGCAAAAGTTCCAGTTACAAAACAGAGTGTTAAACTAGATTAAAAAACAAAATTTAGCTACGTGACATTTACAAGGGACCTAAATATAATAAACCTAAAACATAAGGCTACAAAAAAATTCAAAGGAAAAGCTAAACAAAGACAACAAAAATATCGAGAAGAAAAGATCAACATGAACACTAATCAAGATAAAGCTCTATTAACATCAGACAAACAGGCTTTAAGATGAAAAGCTTTATTAGGTATCAAGAGGGTTACCGAACAGTGATAAAAGATGCAATTTATGTATTTAATTGGAGAGCTTCACAATATTTAAAGCAAACACTAACAGAAATACGAGAAGAAATTAATAATTCTACCATCATACAGGGGAATTTTGCCCTAATTCTTTCACAGATAAAGCAGAAAGAAATGTTAGGACAGAGTACAGATTTCAGTAACACAATTCATAAGCTTGCTCTAGTAACTTATGTACAATGCTATACCCAACAGCTGGGAAATATACCTTCTTTTCAAGAACCCATGGAATTCATAAAATATGAGCAGATTTGGGGAATAATTGAGTTTCTGTCTCCTTTCAAACATGTGGCCAGACATGTACAATGTTCTCCTGAAACTCCAAGAATAAAACGAGGAAGGACATAAGACACTGCTCAGGTATCAAAAAGGAGACAGGAATGTTGGTATCTCAAGTTGTGATAAGAGAGGTAATTCGGCTTGGTTGTGTATTAACCTAAAGGTGACCATGGCTTGTACAATCCCCTCTATGGGAATAGGGGAAGTGATAGGGGAAGATAGAAATATCACTCAGAATGATTGTCACTCTTTTTCGGATACCTGAATCCTTTAAAAAACAATTCAGCTGACAAAAAGTTAAATGGCTTAATCATTGACTAACAACAGATAGGTTCATCAGTCACAAGAGAAATATCAGAAATATATAAAAACTATCATTATTTTTAGCCTAAAATTTTTGAACGATGGGTGAGTATAAATCAATATTCTGAACATAGTTTTCAGAATCTAATCGCTTCACTGCATCTAGAATGTAAATTATCCTTTGTTCAAGATACCAACATGGAAAACTCATTCAGACTAATGGCCTACAAGCCCTACACAATTGATGGCCAGTTATCTCTTGAATCCAATCTTCTGCCAAGTTCTCTTTTGCTCACTCCCTGATAAACCAGGCACACTAGTTTCTGGTGTTCCTCAAACATACACACTTAAACTCTGATCTTAGGACCTCCATACTTGCTACTCCCATTCTGAAATGCGCTTCCCCAGACAGCCATATGGTCGTTTCCTCACCTGCTTCACTTTTAGTGGGATGTTACCTTTTTAGTAACAAGTAACTTATAAGAGCTTTCTAGAACATAAGCTCTACGAAGGCAAACATTTAACTGCCTTGTTTTCTGCTGCATCAACCCCAGCATGCAAAACAGTTCCCTATATGTTAAGAGCTCAAAAAACATATGTAAATGAATGAATGAATGACTGAATCAATGAATCAATATCTTAGCTTTGAAAGGGAAAACTTAACTGCAGCAGACTGGCTTCTTAAAGGGCTTGTCTAAGGATTCTATGATTCTGTGATTTAAAAATTCTTTCTTTCAATTGAATATTTTGTTATACCGAGAGATATGCAAACATACAAATTTTAATCAATAGCTAATAGTTAAAATATTCATTCAGTCATCAACATTACCTCCTAAAATCTAACTAAAAGCAATATATATATATATACACTGAAAAATCACATGAACTTTTCTAATAATAAAACATGTGTTACTTGTCTTCAACATCAGAGGTATTAATGATTTCTTTTAAATTAGAAGTCCTTCAAGCCTGTAATCCCAGCACTTTGGGAGGCCGAGACGGGCGGATCACGAGGTCAGGAGATCGAGACCATCCTGGCGAACACGGTGAAACCCCGTCTCTACTAAAGAAATACAAAAAACTAGTCGGGCGAGGTGGCGGGCGCCTGTAGTCCCAGCTACTCTGGAGGCTTAGGCCGGAGAATGGCGTGAACCCGGGAGGCGGAGCTTGCAGTGAGCTGAAATCCGGCCACTGCACTCCAGCCTGGGCTACAGAGCGAGACTCCGTCTCAAAAAAAAAAAAAAAAAAAGAAGTCTTACAGACAAATTCAAAAATATGTACTACATCAGCTTCTACAATGCACTTTCCAAAGTGCACTGCAGATTAGCACTTTTCAGATTAGCACTAGTCTAACAGGCCTGTTTTATCTCAAAAATGTGTCTACTTATATGTATAGTTAAAAAGTTGCTTAGTGTATTATCTCTAATATCAAAGTCATACATTTCTACAATGTAATCACAAGCACTGACAACAATTACAGTGAGGTTCATAAATACATTGACGGTAAATATTCTGAGTTTCCCTAATAAAATATTTAAACCTAGTTTATTTTCATATTGCATATGAATCCATTTATATGCCCAAAGCACCAATAAAATGACTTGAATTGAGGACTATCTGGCACTTTATGCTGAGGGGAAAAGTCATAAACATGCATCATAAAGTAAGTTATTTAATAAAGTTGTAATATTTAGTTATTTAACCAAAACTGAGATTTAAAGACAAGCATAAAATGTTTACGCGGTAGGATCTTTCCTACAGGAAGCTGGAAAAGCTTTGTACTCACTTCCAGATTTTCGCCATCTGGAACTTCTTTTGTTTTTGATGCAGGAGGTGGTGAAGAGACTGGAGGAAGGGGGCTGGTTATAATTTGGGAGCTGAAAAATAAAAGAGATCACCGAGATGTAAAATACTCTGTCCATAAGACAAGACACACTTTTTTTTTTTTTTTTTTTAAGCACAGTTCACTTCAATTGTGTCTGGTTAATGCAACACTTCCTCAAGTGTGTTCTGTGCAACACTAGAGTCACACTGTACTCTGGAAAAAGCGCATGGTCAAAGATGATGGCTAATGCCTCTTGGGAGACTTATGTGCAAATCTGCATATTAAAGGTTTGGGTAAGTGCTGTTTGTTTGTTTAAGCTCATCTGGCTTTAAACCAGCATTTCCCAAACATATCTGGCCAAGATCTCCTTTTTTATCTTTTTTAAAACAAAATAAAGCTTAAAAAAAGAACTAAAAACATACACACACACACACACACAAAATTAGTGACTAGTACACCGTAAGTTGGAAAAGACTAGGTTACAGTTTTCACCCTATCATAAAACTCTGAATAGACTTTTACTTATAAAACATTCTACAGGGCATAAGGAAGAAAGTAAATGAGCATGACTTAAGACTGAAGACCTCCAACATAGAGTGAGAGATAATATAAAGAGCATCTTTATATTAACACAAAAGTACAAAGTAGTCAGGGAAAGAAAAATTATTTGTCGTCTTTTTTGGTTCTTCTCCAAATAAAACACACAACATAAAGCATAGCATAACCATAATCATAAAGAAAAATTCAAAAATCCAATCTTGAGCTCATATAATAATTGAAATGACTGGACTTACTCAGGAAGTCTAAAATCTAGACCTGGTTTTGTCAATAACAAACCTCATGATCTTCGCAAAACCATTTTCCATCACTAAGCCTAAGATTTTTCACCCAACAGTTACTACTTTTTTCAAATTTTAAGATTTTCTGAAAAGTAAAAAGTAGAAAAAAACATGGGATTTGGAGTCAACTCTACCATTTGCCAGATACATAAGACTTTGAGCAATTTACTTCAAGTCCTTCATCTCTAAATTAGGGACATGAATACGTACCTGAGAAGACAGCTGTAACAAGATAATGTGTGTGGACCACCTGGTACAGACTGGGAACTCCTCATTTTTATATTGTTAATAGCTAACTTTTAAGTCAAATAATATGCTATTATTTTCAGTATAACTACTAAAGAGGTGTAAACAGCTAATAAAAAATACAACTTTTTATTAAACTATTTGGGCTCACTAGCATGCTCCGTCCTGCCATGTCATCCTTTTTTTTTTTTTTTTTTGAGACGGAATCTTGCTCTGTCACTCAGGCTGGAGTGCAATGGCACAATCTCGGCTTGCTGTACCCTCCACCTCCCAGGTTTCACCATGTTGGCCAGGCTGTTTTTGAACTTCTAACCTCAAGTGATCCACCCACCTCAAGCCTCCCAAAGTGCTAGGATTACTGGCATAAGCCACCGCACCTGCCCCTGTCATTTCATTTTAACATAAATAAGTAATAGTAGCTAACACTGAGCACTATCTATTAGATAGTTTCCTCTGAGTGTTAATTCACTTAATGATTAAACAACCCTTAAAGATGAGTTACTACTGTTATCACCACTCTTAAGAAACTGGAGACACATAGAGAATATGTAATTTATACAAGTTTACACAGCTAGGAAGTGGCAGAGTCAAGATTTTAAGTCAGGTATTCAGACTTGATAGCCTGCAAAACACTGTTTCCTAATACAGTAACTTGTGTGCTGTGAGTACACATGCAATATTCACTAGTAAAACTTCAAAATTAGTAATACTAGGGTTTGGTACATCTAAGGAAAGGAAAACAGAAAACAATTTGAAAAGGGAAAAATTAACAAATTGGAAAATATGTCCTCCCTGGATATCCATACCTATCTATTTCTGCAGAATTTATTCCAGAATTTGACAGATTTTCTGACACGGAACTCTGACTATCCTTCTTGGTAGGTTCCAATCCATTCTTTATATCATCAAAATTTTCATATTTGAGAGCCTGGACCAACTGTAATAGATACATCAACAAATCCTGGAAAAGAAACAAAAAGTAAAGTAATATTAGGAAAAGAATGCAAAATGATTACAGACATTATTTATTCCTAAATATCAACTAAACATTTCACTTTTATCTATTACTTTTCAGCTGTATTACTTTTGACACGTCACCAAGTTACTTAACTTCCCTGTACCCCACAGCCCCTTCATCTTTAAAATTGACATCATAATATAAACTGTAGAGAAGAGCATGAGGGTTTAAAATTAGTTAATAAAAGAAATTCACAGAATAGTGTCCATCACAGGCTAAGTGGCCAATAAATGATATGATTCAGGTAGTAGCTTCAAAAAAAAAAAAAAAAAAAAAAAGTGGGAAGGATTCAAGATGCTTTGCGTAAAACTAAGAAATTATAGTCGGTCGCAGTGGCTCACGCCTGTAATCCCAGCACTTTGGGAGGCCGAGGCGGGCAGATCACGAAGTCAGGAGATTGAGACCATCCTGGCTAACACAGTGAAACCCCGTCTCTACTAAAAATACAAAAAATTAGCCAGGCGTGGTGGCGGGCGCCTGTAGTCCCAGCTACTAGGGAGGCTGAGGCAGGAGAATGGCGTGAACCCAGTAGGCGGAGCTTGCAGTGAGCCAAGATTGCACCACTGCACTCCAGCCTGGGCAACAGAGCAAGACTCTGTCTCAAAAAAAAGGAAAAAGAAAAAAAAAAGAAATTATAGAAGGATCCTTTTTTCAGTAATAGATCACAAGAGTGCATTCTATGTTTAATATTACACAAGAAATTCCAAATTTTCAAGTTTTCAAAGAACTTCTGTTTAATGTCTTTTTCTGGTTAGAATCTTTAAAACTCATGTGTTTTCTTTTTTCCTGAAAGATCAGGTTTTAGAGAATCTGGATTGCTTCTTAAATGAAAGATGCTGTAAAACAGACATTTGATTAAGAGACACGCTTTCTATTCCTGCCAACTCCCAAGAGATTTGAACAAAACAAATTGCTAAGCCTAAATTCTCCGTAAGTGACAACCAATGAGATAACCTGGACTAAAAAGGTGTCAGTCAACAAAGTAGCTTTTACTTTACTGAGTTTTCCCTTAATAATAATAAAACTCTTTAATGTTTAGGATGGAAATGCTTCCAGTATTTCTCTATAAAGCTTGTCCTCTTTACATACTTGTCCTCTTCACAAGTACGTACTTTTTAAATTTTTACTTTTAAAAATAACTAAAAAGTGAAGAAAACCGCAAAACTCAAAAAATTTTTAAATGTATCTATTATCTTCCAATTGTCATTCATCCTGTTAGACACTTGAAACTCATAATTAGAAAATTTTGACTTTGGGCCTACCAACTCAACTTCAGTCTCCTCTTTAAGCTCACAAAACAGGTTAAGTCTCCTGCAAATATTTCATGGTCCACTTTTTCCTATTTGTAACACCTATAGCACTTGTAATAACTTACTCTTGGTTTTCCACTATTTTATAAACCAGGAGGACAGAGACCACCTGCCAGCAACCCGTATTTCCTTATTTAATACTACCGGCGTAACTCATTTTATTGTACCTTGCACATATTGCTTTTTTTTTTCCACAGAATGAGTTTTGTGGCAACCCTGCACCCAAGCAAGTCTATTGGCATCATTTTTCCAACAGCATACTTTCACTCCATGTCTTTGTGTCACATTCTAGTTATTCACATAATATTTCAAACTTTTTCATCATTATTTTATCTGTTATGGTGATCTGTGATCAGTGATCTTTGATGTTACCATTGTAATCAGGGGTGCCACACACCATACCCAAATAGGATGGCACAGTTAATTAATCTTGAATGTGTTCTGCCTAATCCACCAACCAGCTGTTTCCCTGTCTCTCTCCCTCTCCTAGCTTGCCTGTTCCGAGACACAGTAATACTGCAATGAGGTCAATTAATAAACCTACAACGCACTCTAAGTGTTCAAGTAAAAGGAAAAGATGCATGTCTCTTACTTTAAATCAAAAGCTAGAAATGATTAAGCTTAGTGAAGAAGGCACAAGAAAAGCCAAGATAGGTTGCAAGCTAAGTCTCTTGTACCGAACAGCCAAGGTATGAATGCAAAGGAAAAGTTCTTGAAGTATACTGAAAATGCTATTCCAGGGAACCACAAATGAAAAGAAAGCAAAACAGCCTTATTGCTGATAGAGAAGTTTTAGTGGCCTGGGTAGATGAGACTAGCCACGACATTCCCATGAACGAAATCCCAATCCAGAGCAAGGCCCTAACTCTCTCCATTTCTATAAAAGCTGAGAAAGGAGAAGAAGCTGCAAAAGAAAAATCTGAAGTTAGAAGAGGTTTGTTCATGAGATTTAAGGACAGAAGTCATTTCCATAACATGAAAGTACAAAGCGAAGCAGCAAGTACTGATGGAGAAACTGCAACAAGTTATTGATGCAGGTGACTATACTAAACAACAAAGTTTCAACGCAGATGAAACAGCCTTGTTTTAGAATAAGATGCCATCTAAGATTCTCACAGCCACAGGCTGAGTCTCTTGGTAAGGGTCTAATGTAGATTGTGACTTTAAGTTGAAGTCACTGCTCATTAACCATTTCAGAAGTCCTAGGGCCCTTAAGAATTAAGCGACATTTCCATTGCCTGTGCTCTATAAACGGAAGAACAAAGCCTGGATGACATCACATCTGTTTAGAGCATGGTTTATGAATATTTAAGCCCACTGTTAAGACCCATTGTTCAGAAAAGAAGATTCCTTTCAAAATATTACTGCTCATAGACAAGGTACCTGGTCACCTAAGAGCTCCGATGAAGATGCAGAAGAAGTTGAATGTTGTTTAGAATCCTGCTATCGCAACATCCATTCTACTGCCCATAAAATCAAGGAGTCACTTTGACTTTCAAGTCATATTACTTAAGAAACACATTTTGTAAGGTCATATCTTCCATAGACAGTGATTCCTCTCATGGATCTGGGCAAAATAAACTGAAAATCTGGAAAGGATTCGCCACTCTAGATGTCATTAAGAACATTTGAGCTTTATGGGGAAGGTCAAAATAGCAACATTAACAGGAGTTTGGAAGACGGTGATTCTAACTTTCATGGATAACTTTGAGGGGCTGAAGACTTCAGTGCCTGTAATCCCAGCACTTTGGAAGGCCGAGGTGGGTAGATCACCTGAAGTCAGGAGTTCAAGGCCAGCCTAGCTAACATGGCGAAACCTTGTCTCTTACTAAGAATTAGGCGGTTGCAGCGGCACACACCTGTAATCTCAGCTACTCGGGAGGCTGAGGCAGGAGAATCGCTTGAACCCTGGAGGCAGAGGTTGCAGTAAGCCAAGATCATGCCACTGCACTCCAGGCTGGGTGACAGAGGGAAGACTCCGTCTCAACAACAACAAAAAAGACTTCAGTGGAGGAAGTAAATGCAGAAGTAACAGAAACAGCAAAAAAAAAAAAAAAAAAAAAAACTAGAATTAGAGGTGCAGCCTGAACATGTGACTGAATTGCTGCAATCTCATGCTAAAACTTGAACAGATGAAGAGTTGCTTCTTATGGATGAGCAGCAAAGAATAGTTTCTTGAGATGCGATCTATGCTTGGTGAAGATGCAGTGAACATTGTTGAAATGACAACAAAAGATTCAAAATACTCCATAAACGTAGTTGTTAAAGCAGTGGCAGTATTTGAGAGGACTGACTTCAATTTTGAAAGAAGTTCTACTGTGGACAAAATAATAGCAAGCAGCACTGCACGCTGCAGACAAATTTGTGGAAAAAAAAAAGAGTCAATGGGTGTGGCAAAGTTTACGTTTGTTTTATTTTAGGAAACTGCCACAGCTACCCCAACCTTTTGCAACCATCACCCTGATCATTCAGTGGTCATAAACATCAAGGCAAAACCCTTGACTACCAAAAAGACTACAACTTGCTAAAGGCTCAAATGATTGTTAAAATTTTTTAGCAACATTTTAAAATAAGATATGTACATTGTTTTTCTAGACATAATGCTATTACATACTTAGACTATAGTATAATATAATTTACTATATAAACATACAGCAAAGTTATATGTCTAAATTTTACATGTACTAGGAAACCAAAAAGTTCATGAGACTCACTTTATTGTGATATTTGCTTTACTGCAGAGGTCTGGACCAAACCTGCAATATCTCTGAGGTATGACTGTATGTTTCTCTTTTGTTCAGAATTTGTATCTCACACCAAATAATTTTTAAAAAGGTCATTAGGCAAACACTAACAAAGAGTAATACATATGACTTCATCATCAATATAAATTAAATGAAAGATTATGTGGCTTATTAATTCTTATTCAAATATGTTAACGTCAGGAGTCAGGGAAATCAAGTCTCTCTACAGTGTTGTTTCTAAAACCCACTTTTTAATTGGAGCAATAAACATCTGATTTTCTATTATCATAGTTGAGATTCATGGCATCTAATAACTATACATAGAATTACATGTTGTTTCCTAAGGAAAAAAGCATTATGTAACAAAATTAAACAATATATTTAATGACAGGTATCCTTCTTTGGAGGTACCAGTAATTCAGTTTCACTGCCAGTCTTCATTCCGAATGCTGCTGGATCCATTGCCTGTGTGCCTTCCTAATTGCAGAAAGGAGTTAACCATATAAAATAAAAAAGGCTGCAGTATTAAATTCCCCAGGAAGGGGAAATTCAGTAGAAAACTTTTCTAAGTCACTTATCATCATCTGATTTCTTGGTCATTTCATATTCTATATTCAAACTATACTTTCCTTCATTTGTATGAAAATGAATTAACTTCAATAGTAAGTAGAGTCTGTTTTCTCATTATATAGTCACATCTTGAAAAATATAATAAAAGTCCTCCAAGCATGAAGGACATAAGCATTGGAGTAAAACAAGGCAAAAAAAAAAAAAAAATCAGGCTTCCATCTCAGGCAATTCTGTAAATATCTCCCAAGAGCTATGAAATTTTTTCTAGATAGTGATCACCATTTTTCTCCAGAGTAAGTTAATTCTAATGCTTCAAAGTGCAAATGTGAAGTCCCATATCAAAATCACTCAGTGACTTCCCATTTCTTACTGAATTAAGAATAACTCTCCATAGAGGCATTTTCAGTTAGAGACATGGGTTCTGATTTTGCCTCTCAATTGCTACATATATCCTACACTCCTGTGGAAGTGACATACTTTCCATTCTTCCTGTACTTTCAATTCCCTTGCTCTTGCTCGCATTGCTTTCTCTACCTGGAATATAAACTCCAAACGTAAAAATTCTACATTTCCTTCAACTCAAATGCCACTTCTTCATTACATTCTAATATGGAATCTCTCTCCTTTTGAACTACACAGCAGTAAGAAACATGATTTAAAAATTTCAAAATAATGCAAGATAAAGAATAGTCATTTAAAAAATCCTAAATAAGATATTAACAAATCAAATTCAGACAGGTATTGAGATTTAGTTTACAAGTGTATGGCTGATATAACATTAAGAAATGTATCAGCATACTTACAGTAGATTGATAAAAATGAAAGACTATATGATATGAACAAGCGTCAAGAGTGTTTGATAATATATAGAAGCCATTCTTGATTTAAACACACAGAAAAAGAAAAGAACAAACAGAGACAGGGAGAAACTTTAAACATAAATGAGAGCATTTGACTGAAACCAGTAAGTAACACACATTAGAGTGAAATACTAAAAGCATGCCCATAATGAGTAACAAGACAAAGATGAATATTGAACTACTTTTATTCACCATTATTACTTGCAGCTTTCAGCTAATGCAATGAAAAAATACACTGCTTTTCAGCTAGCATAATGCTATGCCTAGAAAATATAAGAAGCACCCGAACATCTACATCTATTAGAATAAGAAAAATCAATAAAGTGACGAGATAAAACAAATATTGTAACAGAAACAGTTTCTTTTTAACTAAGAAATGTAAATAAAAGATAAATGGGGTGGGGTAGTTTATAATAGTAACAATAATATAATTGCCAGGGAATAAATCAAAATTGTAAGAATGTATATGACTGTAATAAAACTGATGTGCGTGAATAAAAAATCATATGCCACTGTGATGGAAGATATAATGTCATAAAGGTATCAATTTTTTATAATATGCAAGCATAATGTAGTTCTACTTAAGATTCTGGTGCAGTTTTAAGAAAATGATAAAATTATTCTAAAATTCATGGAAAGAACAAATGTAAAAAAATTATAAATAAAATTGTTTAAAAAGGAAGGAGGAAAAGATTTGTCTAGTCATGTATTTAAAGTATTATAAAGGAACTCATTTTTTAAAAGCATAACACAAGGGCAAAAAGAGAAGACTTACAGGGATTGTCTGCAAAATGTAAAAAGCAGGTATCTTTTGGCTCAATAATTCTAATGCAAGCAATTTATTCAAGAATATGATTTTTAAGGCCTGGCGCGGTGGCTCATGCCTGTAATCCCAGCACTTTGGGAGGTCGAGGTGGCTGGATCACGAGGTCAGGAGATTGATACAATCCTGGCTAACACAGTGAAAACCCGTCTCTACTAAAAAGAAAATACAAAAACGTAGCCGGGCATGGCAGCGGGCGCCTGTAGTCCCAGCTACTTGGGAGGCTGAGGCCGTAGAATGGCGTGAACCTGGGAGGCGGAGCTTTCAGTGAGCCGAGATCACGCCACTGCACCCCAGCCTGGGAGACACAGTGAAGACTCTGTCTCAAAAAAACAAACAAACAAAAAAAAAACAAAAGAATATGACTTTTAAAACATACCCAGCTACCCTCCCTCACACACCTGTTCACTAAACTATAGTGACAGGAAAAGAATGGGAACAACAGACTATAAAAGAGGCCCAATGGTTAAGTAAATTAACACAAAAATTCATGGTAAAATATCATGCTGTTATTTAGAAAGAATAAGGCAGATCTACAGTGACAGAGTTCAGAACATGCTAAAATAAAAAGGACAAAATATAGCACGCTGGCATTTATATTTTGTTATTCCTAACAAGCCCCTTTCAACCACACCTGTGTTTATGTTAATGAGGTAACTTCTGGAAATCCCCTAAAGATGGCGGCTGGCTGAGAGAAAAGCCAGCCATGTGATTAGAGGGTGGGACTTTAAGCTCCACCCCCTCAACCTCTGGGGAACAGAGAACTGAAGACCGACTTAATCACCAACAGCCAATGATTTAATCAATCGTGCCAATGTAATGAAGCTTTCACAAAAACTCAAAAGCACAGCATTCTGAGAGCTTTTGGGTTGGTGAAGAAGAATGCACCCACGTGCAAGAAGGGTGCTATACTGCAAACTCCATGGGGACAGAAGCTCCTGTACTAAGGACCTCATCCTATGTGTCATTTCAACTAGCTGTTCATCTGTATCCTTTAAGATACCCTTCATAATAAATCAATACTAGTAATGTTTCCCTGACTTTTGTGAGTCATTCTGGCCAATTATCACACCCAAGGAGACAGTTGTGGGAGCCCCCTCATTTGCTAAAGCCAGTAGGCCAGAAGTCAGAAGGATGTAATCTAGTAGAGGTTAGGGAGTTGGGGTGGAGAGAGTAAGCAGTGTTACAGATGAAACAAGATTGGTTATAAGTTGGCAACTGCTGAAGATAGATGAATTGTATGTCAGGATTCATTATACTATTTACTTTAGTGTTTAAATTTCACCATAATTAAATACATGCATACAATTATCAACTTTAGTATTTCATTTGCTTCTTGAAATTCAGATGCCAGTAATTCAAAATGATCTCACTGTCTCCTCCCTCTTAAAAAGGCATTTGATAATAGTTGTTCTATGCAGTCAACATTGCTATATATATATATATGCTTGAGAAGTTACTCCACATCACATAAAGTACTGCTGGCTAGCATAAACGTTAGGTTACGTTTAAGAACATATTCACCCTATAAAAATTAAGAAAAAAAATGCTGGATTAGTCTATCTCATAAAGAATTATTAAAGCCCAAAATCCAGCAATGCTTTTGTCAAAAAAAAGTGTTCCTCCTTCCCTGATGGCCTTACAAGTACAGCCATGTGCCACATCACAATGCTTCAGCCAAGAGAGGACCACATATATGATAGTAATCCCGTAAGATTATAATACTGTGTTTTTACTGTACCTTTTCTATGTTTAGATACACAAATACTTAGCATTGCGTTACAACTGCCTAAGCTATTTAGTATGACAACATGCTGTACAGGTTTGTAACCTAGGAGCACATAGCCTCAGCGTGTAGTAGGCTTTACCATCTAGGTTTGGGTAAGTATACTCTATGATGTCTGCACAAAGATGAAATCCCCTGAGGACACATTTCTCAGAACACTTCCCTGTCATTAACTGATGTATAACTGTATATATAAATAGCCAGCATATAGTTGGCAATCTTTGCTTTCCAAGGATTCAAAACCACCTTCAGAAAATCTACATATACATATCATTGTCATCAGCTGAAAATTTAAAAGGCGAGTTTGAAGGAGAGGAAGATGACCACGCATCTCTATGCTTTCAAGGCCCCAAGGGCTTTTCAAGGCTACAATTAAAATGTGGCTTGTTGTATACTGACTGATAGAGGAGATCTGAATTATTCCCTAGCTGGTGCTGCATTAAACCATTTTTCACTAGAATTCCTTCTTCCAGACAGAGCAATACAAGCTCTGCTGCCAGGTAAATGTCCTGGGAGAGACTGTTCTATCACGTAACAGATCAGGAAGTAAATTTTCATTTCACAGAGGAGTCCTTTGAGGCATATTTTAATTTTCCTTCTGAAAACACACCTAGTATATCCTGTTCGCTTCTAAAAATCTCTCTTGCGTGTGCGCACTCTCTCTCTCACTCACACATACACACATGGTCTATAATTAGGCTCTAGTTTAAAATGACCCATTGAAGTGGAATAATAAATAATGCACCTCATCATCGGCCTGTCGCAACCGGGCAACAGCATAACGCCTCACTGTTGGGTTGGTGTAATGAGAGGATAACAGCTCCAAGGAGTCCTCTACATCCATCGGCTTCCATTTTCCCAGAAGTTCCAAGGCCTGTTTGGCCTCTTGAGGTAGATCCCAATTAACACATTTCAAGAATTTTGTCAAGGCCTAAAATCAGAAAATATTTAAAAATTAGAAATAGCCTATTTCCTGGGATAGAGAAGGTGACTAGGCAGAGTTCCACTTGGTCCTAATGACAGAGCCACGGAGTCAGTGATAGACTCCTTGTGTAAACACTAAATGAAGTTATACATACGATCTTACAGAAGCACCGCAGGACAGAAAAAAAGCATGCTCCCTGTATCTTTATATTTTCCAGGCCAAATTATTTGCGAGCACTATGAATTTTTAAATTTGTTTTGGTTTTTCTTCATTTTGTTATTTTAAAATACTGCAGGTCTCAAGACATGGAAATAGCTGAGGCATGTCTCACAAACTCTAAGATGCCTTAGAGAAAACCTACATTTTACAATAGAAAATGCTGCAACCACTGAATGAAAGGGCCAGAAACCATTCTAGGGCAGAAATTCCCACCACTAGCTTCACTCTCGACCACCTCCCTAGAGTATGACCACTGGCTTTCACAGATACTTAAACATGAAGACTCAAACAATGTGGAGTATGTAGGTATCTCTGTGAAGTAACTACTTTAAAAGATAGGCAATCCAACAAAACCTCAAAGCACAAGTATAAAAATGGGTAAGTACAGAAACCAGAAACAGCAGCAAACAGTCTATGATTCATCTGGTTGTACATCTTTCTGGAACCTCACTCCTTTGAATAGGCAGCACATGGAAGTTTTCACAAGACTGTCAGTTAAGCCAATAGTCTTGGAGTATATCACTCATTGCATAGTAAGTGCTCTTTTAAGAAAGGTACACACTTCTTGGCCAGGTGTGGTGGCTCATGCCTGTAATCCCAGCACTTTGAGATACCCAGGCAGGAGAATTGCTTGAGGCCAAGAATTCAAGACCAGCCTGGGCAACATAGCAAGACCCCATCTTTAAAAAAATAAATGAAAATAAAGAAAAGCATACACTTGCTTTCCATGAAAAGCAACGTTTATTGCTGGGTCTCAAAGGCAACACTTTCCTGGCTGAACCCAAGATGTTTTCTTCTTCTTTGTCTTCCTCTGTTGCTATTTGTTGAAAAATAGGTAACTTGAAAATGTAAGACTCCTGCTCTGCCCAATCAAAATCTTTTTATTAGTAAACTAATCAATTCCTCAAGAAAATGTCTACCTGGACAACAAAACACAATGTCTGTTAGTATGACACTAAATGAACCTTCATAGCCATCCCCTAACTTATTCTTGATTTTACTAAATTAAGAAAAAAGGCCTATGGAGATTGTCTAGTTCAATGTTTAAATCGTATATAACCTCAGCAAAGATAAATGGCTTGCCCATCACCTCACAATGGTGCATGAGCTAGACGTAGAACCCAGGTCCACCAATTCTCAGCCCCACACTTCTTCCACCAGATGGTGCTTTGTTACCATTAAGGCGCTCCATCCCCTAGTTAGCCCCATTCCCCTTGGAGCCATTACTCTGCCAACACTAATCTCCTGAATCTATTCTAGTCCCTTTCAATTATTTCCTAGCAATATCTCCTATATCTGTCCTCAGCCTGATTTCTCATTATATCACACATGTGGAGTTGGACACAGCCTTCTAGCTAAGAACCTAAATACCGGTTTCTCTTCTAATCATTTCATACATACTCTTAGAGAAGCTCAAGTTGGAAGTGATCTTAGCACAAATTTCCTATTGTTAGCAGAAATACCCCACAACACGAATGCCAAAAAGAGACCCAATATTTACTTAAGCGACTCAAGGAACTAATTTCCAAAATAGCCATTATATTCATAGAAAGCTAAGCCAGTTTTGTTTTGTTTTGATTTTAACTATAATGAACGAAAAGACAAAAATGTCTTCATATTGCTTTTTCCAATTTGTTAGTTTCATTCTTTGGAGAGAATGAGAGTAAATTTAGCTCCATATGATGTGGACAACCTTTCCAATATTTGAAAAGTTAACAATATTGTTACAAAGTGGTTTTGACTAGATGATAGGACACTCTAGTTTGTAAATAAACAAATAAATAACCTTGGCTTCTTTCTCAAAACATTTCATTGCTACCACTTACCACAATGCAAACCTGTTTCATTAAACTCTCATTGCCCTTCCATGCTTCAGCCCAGTTAACTTATATGAACAATGTCTCTCTAACCCCTGTAACTCTTCATCAAAATAAGGTATCATCTACTCTACAGCCGTCTTGTCGAAAAAAGTTTTACAGGAAGTTTTCAGCAACTTTCTGCTATTCCTTTAGAAGCTGGCTCAATTTTACTACTGTCATTTAAATGATGTCCTTCTAACTGCCAAAGTTTTTGTGGGCATTTTTATCTCTATAGCTGGAGGCTGTATTCCCCCAAGGACAGCTGTCCATTTCCTCTACACTTCCTGCACACCATTTAGTATAATGCTCCCTTTCCGTATAGAACACAGATTGCCCTACTAACTTATTCCATGAATTTATTTTCCACTTCTAAAATGTATTTCTAGGTTGAATGTGGAAACAAAGCAATACTTCTTAAATAATGACAGTGAAAACTTTTCCATTTCACAGTACATCAGCAGTCTTAATAGAAATGTGCAGGTATGTACTTATTATAAGCAAATCTTGTAGCATGCCGATGTACTCAATTCAATAACTGAAACAATCTAAAAGCTAGATTCTCCGATTTATAGACTTATTAGCAAGATTTATGGAGTATGCTGCTGCCAAAGAACATAAGGCACCGTACAAAGAATTTCACAACTTTTTAATGTTAAACGTTACAAATGTAAACAGGGAGCCAATAGAATGAAGAAGAAAACAAGGGATCAAAGAATAAGAAAGACAAAAAATAAGAATTTGAAGACAGCAATAATAATGGCCTTTTTAAATAACCGTAGGTCTTTTAAAGATGCTTTACTGATCCATGCAGGATTAAAGAGCAATTCTCTCTCTCTGGAACTTCCATAGATTACTGCAGAGCACAGACTGTAGAGCCAGGGTGTTTGGGTTCCAATGATAATTCCTGGCTCCATCAATTATTACCTGATTAAACTGAAGCACACTATTTAACTTTCAAGAGACCTTTCTCATAGGCTTGCGGTGAAGATTAAGTTAATGAATATAAAATGTTTGTGACAGTATCCTATATACATAGTAAATAGTTTATTATCATTCATTATTTTTATTCTATTTCTGATGTTGACATCAAATTTTAGCTTTACTATACGTATTACTATGTTTTATTCCCTTTGATCTGAAAATCACCTGTTATCTCCTATTCTTAGAATCACAATCACCTCAGAACTGAAAATACTATATCTCGTATATATATTTCTAATTTAAACTTCTACCAATTAAATTCTTAGAAATTTCTATTTTGCTGCTTTTCCAATGCTTTTGATTCCAAATACTCAAACATGAAAACACCTCATTCTTTTCTTCCCACCTGCCATATATCCTTATTGATATGGTGTGGCTGTGTCCCCACCCAAATCTCATCTTCAGTTCCCACGTGTTGTGAGAGAGACCTGAAGGGAGGTAATTGAATCATAGGGGCAGGTCTTTCTCATGCTGTTCTCATGATAGTGAATAAGTCTCACGAGATCTGATGGCTATATAAGGGGGAGTTTCCTTCCACAAGCTCTCTTTGCTTGCTGCCATCCACATAAGACATGACTTGCTCCTCTTTGCCTTCCATCACGATTGTGAGGCCTCCCCAGTCACATGAAATTGTAAGTCCATTAAAACTCTTTTTCTTCCCAGGCTCAGGTATCTCTATATCAGCAGTGTGAAAACGGACTAATACAGTAAATTGGTACCAGAAGTGGGGTATGAACGCACAACGATACAAATCCATCAGGTTCAGGCCTAACCCCTGATCATTTTCTACGAGTCAACTAACTTGTATAGCTCCTTCTCCATCCCTTGCCCTCCAAAACTGTTCTCTCAGTCAGTATATGAGCCTCCTAATTATGTCACTTTTTTCATTTTCTGCTCTGCTCCAATCTACCCTAGTTTGTACTCCTTAAAATATCACTTGTTAGGCTAGTGTGCTGACTCACATCTGTAATCCTAGCACTTTGGGAGGCCGAGGCAGGTTGATCACCTGAGGTCAAGACCAGTCTGACCAACATGGTGAAACCCCATCTCTACTAAAAAGACAAAATTAGCCGGTGTGGTGGTACATGCCTGTAATCCCAGCTACTTGGGAGGCTGAGGCAAGAGAATCACCTGAACCTGGGAGCGGGAGGTTGCAGTGAGCTGAAATCGCATCATTGCACTCCAGCCTGGGCAACAAGAGTGAAACTCTGTCTCCAAAGAAAAAAAAAAGAGAGAAATAAACTATCACTTGTTAATACACATTTTCCTGCTTTAGTAGCTTCCTGTTGCCAGTAAAATTGAATTCCTAAGGGTATAATTTGAGGCTCATCACAATCTGATGCCATCTTTTCTATTTCATAACCATTCACACAAAACTCTGTCTCCTGAACCTAACAGCCTACCTTACTCATGTTTTCCTTCCCCATAAAAAAATGATCACCAAGTAAAAAATGCTATCAAAGTCTGCTCACACTTTAAGGGCAATCTTTGTTCTGTGAAACCTTCCTCATATCATAGCACACTGATCTTGTCATCCTCCACATTTCTATTATATTAATAACCTATATATTTATTAAGACAGTGACCCTTAATCAATTACTATGTTATACTTCCTAATTTTAATTATGTGTAAATATTCTTACCCCAAAACAGTTTTAATTTATTTGAATACAAGGACATGATACCTGAAACCTCATAGTCTTATATAATGCTAGGTCAAGAGGTGATAATAAATACTTGCTGAACTGAATTCATTTATCCCATGAGTCACCATCAAATTCTTGTCAGGAGACACAAATATGATGACTGTCCTCATGTCACTGTCTCAGAAACAGCCTTATAAGAACACTCAGTGCATCACTATTACCTTCACTATATGTGACTCTTTCAACTGCTTTTTTTCCCTCAAGCATAATCAAAAGGCATGGAATTAATTTAAATTAGTATTTTTATAAGAAGAAAGTCCATTGTAAAAGCTATTAGGTTGGTGCAAAAGTAACTGCAGTTTTTGTCAAATAGTTTTGAAAAATTACAATATTCACATTTCAGGTTCCACAGAAATGAGTCACTTCCTATATGCTATAAACTACGAATTGGAAAATACTTCATAAATTTAAATGGTAACAAATTTAATTGAACAAAGTTATTACTATGAACTTTCTGGGTACAACATCAAGTCCTGACTAGAAGGTTTTCATCTGAAATACTTAAGACAGGTCATTAAGAAAAAAAAAAAAAAGGGCAGAAAGACAAAATTTAATTAAAAAATAAAAAGTACAACTTTGTAAGAACCAATTTCCACCAATGTGTTTTCTGAGCACTGCCTTGTCTCTAGGAAAGCTTCTCAGCCCCAGGGCCCAAATGTCAAGTAACCGAAATCACAATTTCTGAGACTCTGATGCTAAAAGAATTTCTTTCTGTAAATAAATTAATGGATGGAGTATGAGAGTATCCGTTTTTCACAAAATCCATTTGAAATTATTACAAGGTTACAAATGTGGCTGTGTGAATAATTCCTTTGGTCACTTCAAGGCCTATATATATTTGGTTTACTCCAAAGTGACTTCTGAACACTAAAACATATTGTTCACTCTACTCTAGTGGTCATAAGAATCCTATAATATGTCCTGAGAATTGAAGTTTCATCACTCACCTTTCGAAAACTTGAAATCAACTAGTTAGATGAAACTTGTCACACACTTTATATCACTTGAACATTTTATTTCTTTTGCACATATATAGAAGTAATTGAATTTCGGTGGGAAGTGACTACTTGTTTAAACAAATAATTTTTCTTGCAAACCTTTCTATCTAAAAAAGTTCTGCTCTGTAAATCTACTCCTATATGCGTCTTAAACCTATACATTCTAACAGGTTCAATTCAATATCTAGCTGTGTATTTTAGACGACACTGAGCTGCATTCAAGATGCAATTTCTGTGACCAAGGTTATTCTTCATTTAACACAGTATCATGACAATAACTCAATCTTTTAATAAAACACAAATCACAAACCTGTGTTTCTGTTGGTATTTCCTTTTGTTCAGCGATTAAGAGAATCATACTCAAAGCTACAGTAAATTAAAAATTATTCTCTCGTTCTTATTATGGATATAAAGAAGAACAAATATGATTCATTTACAAAGAACTTCTGAAGGCATCAATAAATGACAAAGCAGAAAAGCTGAAGAGTTAAGATGAGCTGCAACTGCATTTTTATCTTTACTTTAGAAACTAAAGAAAGGACATTTGGTTCCGAAAAACAACTTAAAATAGTAGTTAAAGACCATATCACAAGATTATAAAACATACCAATTCATTCATTCATTCTCATATAAATACATAACAGCTTCCTGAACAGATATTAATTTCCCTAATGCTTCTCTGCTCTTCCCCTAATGTATTTCAGGGTTCCTGCTAAGGCATGTGCATGATGTTGAAAATGTTTTCTCTATAATTCTCTTTTCTATGTCTTCACTGACTTTCTTTTCTTTTAATTCATAGATGCAAGCATATTAAGAGGCTGCATGTATAAGCTTTGTGAGTCTGCATAGGCCCCCTAATCTTTCTCAGGCTCAAGTTTCCTCATCTGTAGAACAGTTACAGTAATACATACATTGTGGGGTTGTTACGGGATTTAAAGAATTCCTGGTACATAGTATCTGCTTAAAAAATGCTGGCTATTATTATGATACCTTAAGAGGTACCCCTTGGCTCTCTGTTTTAAGATTTTACAGACTATTCTAAAAACTAGGAGACAAAGTTCACAATCACATGATCGTCTTACATTAAATATGAGGAAACTAAAGCTTATTCAGGCAAAGTAATTTGCCTGTAGTCAAAAAGCTTCTTAGGGGCAATAGTAAAACTCAAAACTAAGTGTCCAAAGACTTCAGGTTAGTGATGACTACTTCACCACAATTATCTCTCCAGAAACCTTATCCACTCCATGGTTTTATTACAGGAAGCAAATGTCTAGCTTTGACCTACCCATTATCCTGTATGCCTACCTCTATGCTACTCCACCAACTGAATTCCCACAACTCAAATTATATTTCTCATACTCTCTCTCTAGCCACATCTCATCTAGAATTCTGGAGTTTCATTATTATAATAGCATACATATTTTCCTAGTCACCCAGGTTCAAAGAGGTAAGAAGAAGAGAACCAGCATTTACTCTGCACCTACTATGCATCAGATACTCTACCAGGTTACTTACCTGTATTATCTTACTTGTGAGAAAGAACTGTCTCCACTAGAATAATAAGGACACTAAGCTGCCAAAGTAAGTTGCCTCATCCTACCAAACAAGTGTTAAGATGTACTCCTGGAAAATGAACCCAAGTCTCTCTGACTTCAAAACCCATTCAGACATTGCCTATGAGTCAACAAACAGGTACATGTGTCTTTGTATGCAGACTTTTATAATTTTTTTTTTTAAATGGAGTATCATATACACTGCTCTGTAACTTTAAAGTGACAATAATGATTTCCATGGCATTCTCCTCATCTTGATCATTAATAACAAAGTTGGTAGATAAATTTGATATATGAAAGTATTTAAGACACTCACTTTTTCTTGATTTGTAAGATAATATCTAAACTTCCAAACAAGATCTTGTTCTTCATATGTAAGTTGTTTGGTTGGTGGATAACTCACAATAATCTAAAACAGAAAAAGAAAAAGAAATAATTTTGTCAACCATACATGTCCTATATATTTCCATTTCACTTAATATTTTTCACTTATTTAAATAATTCTATACTACAATTATTATACAAACAAGGAAAATGTAAACACAGTCAAGTAGGCCTTAAATTTGCTATAATTATGTGTCCAAAATGCAGTTTAAAGGAGAAGAACAGAAGGTCATATTCCATAGGTAAATATTTAACTGGAGAGTTCATTTAATTGAACCAGAAACAAAACATAGCAAAATAACAATGTCCCCTACCAGAAAAAGGAAAAATGTGCACACAATAAATTCTTTTAAAGTCAATGCATACAACAAGGCATGTGTACACACTAAGTCCTCTCTCAGGCAATGTCTTAGGGCCAGCTTCTAAGAATACTATCTATTGACATGAAAGAATATAGTATTTGCAGTTCTGTCTCCAGAGATAATAAATTTATGGAAAGCCCCAAATGATAACAGAACTGCTGATCTGTGAAATTATGAACATGATGCAGGATTCATCAACCTGGAGAAAATGTGCATCTAAATAATTTTTAACTGAGGTGATAGCTATCAGCTTCAACTAAAATATCCATTTAACTATTTTTAAATTAACATTGCATAATTCTCTTACATTTAACTGATCTCTCGTGGCAGCATTGGGTTTGAGATCATGGTCAGAAGGTCCACTTCTTAAACTCCGGGCAAGCTTGTGGTGTTTGCTCTCCACTAAATTCTCCTATAAATTATTTTAAAATATTGACAATGTAAACTTCACCAAAAGGAAATTTCAACAGCTATTCATAAACAGAAAAGGTACTTAGAAGTATTTAATAATATTTAATGTTTTATTCTGATCCAACTTTAGCAGTCTTCTATGTATCTTAAAAATATGTATCCTTCTCAAGACTGGGAAACTAAGTATGCCTTAAACTCCACTAGTCCCATAATATACACATGTCATTAAAGCTTCTTAAAACATCTTCCCTTCACTCTCCACATATTCAGGGTTTCCATATCCTCTAACCAGTCAAATATCACCATCACTGTAAAATCTTCCCTGATAACACAGACTAAAGCATTTCTTCCTCCTATCAGCTACTAATGACCCTGTGATGTCACTGTATTATCACCGTAGCAGTTATTTAAGCTATCAGTCACTGAGGGCAAGGACAATAATCACAACGCTTGAATATACACATCTGGTGCTATTTTACCCATGGACAAAATTATTAGTTTTAACCATACTGTCATTGCCTAAAACAAGATATAAATTTATATTATTTATTTCTTATTGCATGTGTGAATTGTCTGTTTACGTCATATTCCTGATTTTTTTATTGGCTTTATGGTCCTTTGTCCTTCATTTTTAAGAGTTCTTTATACACCAGCCTTAATATATCTGTAATGTATGTAGTTAAGTATTTTCTCCCAGTTTGTTAACTGTCCTCTGGCTTTGTTGGTCTCTTCAGCCATGTAATTTTTAAAATTTAGTTAAATTTATCAATCATTTATTTTATTGTCTCTGGATTCTGAGTCACAGTAAAAAAGTCTTTCCCTACCCTGACAGTAAAATACTAGTATGGTTTCTTTTTTTGAGACAGGACCTTGCTCTGTTGACCAAACTGGAGTACACTGGCATGATTATAGCTCACTGCAGCCTTGACCTCCTGAGTTCATGCAATCCTCCTATCTCAACCTCCCAAGTAGCTAGGACTACAGGTACGTGCCACTACCTGGCTATTTTATTTTTTGTAGAGATGGGGTCTCCTTAAGTTGCCCCAACTGGTCTAGAATTCATGGGCTCAAGCGATCCTCCTGCCTCGGCCTCTCAAAAGTGTTAAGATTACAAGCATGAGCCACCATGCTTGGCCTAGTTTCATTTCCTAACATTTACATTACAGATCCATTTGGAGTTTATTCCTATGTATGGTATGAAGTATGGATATAATTTTAGGTTTTTTTTCCAAATTAATTCCATTCCTCAGCCTTAAGACTTAGTGAAGAAATGCCACCTTTATCATATACTAGATTTCCATACATACTTGGATGTATTTCTGGGCTTTTAATTCTGTTCAACCAGTATATTGGTGTACATATATGTGTCAGTACCACATTATTGTAATTATAGTCTGTTTTATTGTCAGATACAGCTGTATATCATCTCAGTCCTACCCAATGTTTACATTTAAAATGTGTTTCTCCGTTTAACAAATAACTATGACTACAGGCTGAACTGAATTTCTTCATACTTAGTGTGTGCTCTGAATATCAAAAATGTAAAATATAATGTGATTTTATACTGAAAATTCAGTGCCAATTTGAGATATATTAACTGGATTCTACTATACTATACATAGGAACTGTTGAGGTCTTTAGAATGTTCCTACTAGATCCTCAAATGGCCTTTCCTTTTTAACTTTTTATACTCTACTTTCCCCACTGCCCATCTCTTCCTTTGATATTAGGCCATCAGCTAGCCATTCCTGCTTTCATGACCTGTACTTATCTCAATCATCATGTTTTCATCATCCAATGTCCCAATTTTAATCCACTTTGGTCTGATGAGGAAGGTAAACTAATCTAATTGGAAATGAATAAAATTAGAACCAAAAGAGTTTGAATGATGTAAATGAACTGTAACTGCGAAAATCATGGTATCTACTGTGCTGCTAAAAGGAGTTTGTGCCTACAAGTTTGTAATTCTAAAGTCATCTAATTAAACCTCTTTTGCATTGTATGAATTCTTATCCTCATATCCCTGAGAGAAAGCTATCATCTCAAAAATTCGTTAATAAGAAGGTATCCCACCGTCATCCAAGTTATCATGTTCCAAATTGAATAGTTCTAGGGATACAGCAATCTTCCCTACTTTCCAACAAATGGGTCTCCCTAAAATTTTGATGCATTCATTCTAGTTATAGAATCCTCCTGTAACATGCAAATTCTCCTTCCGTATGATGACAATCTTTCAAATACCAGTTCTGTCAAGTCTTCACTTCAAGATTACATCCCCCCAACCCGAAGAAAGAAAAAAAAAAAGGACTATACTGCCTAGCTCTTTCAGCAAATCAAATAAAATGGATGCCCAACCCTACTCTACCCTTACCTTAGTTTTAGGATGTCGATATTCTTCATAAAATTCCATCAGAAACAGAGTCTAGATGCTAAAGTGAATTTATGAATCACTTTTAGGTAACAGAGGCAGTTACATATGACTTTATTTAAAGAAAGTACATGATGTGGCTAACTCACAATTACTCTGAAGAAAAGTATTTTCATAAAAAAATTTGCACAATAACTTACCATAGACATCTGGGGGTCAGGAACTTTCACTAATTCAAAACTTGTTAAAATTGGAGATGATTCATCACCGTCCTAGATTACAGAGCAATAATTTTTTTAATAAAGAAATTTAATCCAATAGGAAACAGTATATGATGTACACACCAATGTATTTTAATTCTATTTGATGAACATCATTCTTACCTCTAAAGAAATCCTTATCTTCTTCTAACAATATTATAAAATACATATCCACTTTGTACCTCTCTTTGGTTGATTATGAAATTATTTTGAGAAAAACTCTAACAAAACTGTGACTAAAGTTTTAGATATATGAGGTCTGGAAATTAGATTGTTTTGAGTTGTTCCTTTTCTTTTAAACTTCGTTCATATAATAACAGTGGATTTTTAAAAACGTGCTAATTTTCAAACTCAGAACAAAAAACCACAGACTATATGTAAAATATGGCACAATGGATGTGTTGCACCACTTGCAAAAACTAAGTGGTAATTTTTCAAGGTATCACAATTGAGATCCATTCAAAGGAGCAGAATTTTAAGTGTGGGGTTAATATTACTCAAATTTATACACAGCCAGAGAATTACCAACATTGTTTCTCAAAGGTACACCTGCTCAACATAATCTAAACTTGAATAATAAAAATCAATCATTTTTTCAGAAATAAAGCCATCCTATTTTGTTGGTATTATCACCTTTGAAGAATGTTGGCTTTTATTTTTATCCAATGCGAGAAAGGTAATTCAACATAAAAATGTCACTGCCAAATATACTGGAAAAAGGCTAAACTAATTAAGGTCAAAATTCACTTTCTCATGATTGTATATCTAGCATCAAGCTTTTCTGTCAATTTCCAAATGCTAGTATGTTTTCAGTTTTAAATACGGGCAACAAACTCAGGAGAGACTGAAAGCAGGGAAGCACTGTGACTTTACTTCAGTTCAGTAATTGAGTCTTACAGAAAACCACAAATTCCCACAGCCGTTGTTTAACAGGCTTGTTCTCAGTCACAACACCAGAAAACACATTTATCAGCCCAACTGTGACAAGTAATCTTCACTAAGGCTATCTGTCACAAAAGACAGGTGACAAGAAAGTCTATTTCCATTAGATTCAATACACTGGCCCAGCAATCTTTACACTAAGTGGAAATATGACAGGGTGAGTAGACGGGCATTAATTTATGAGCAATTTTCAGGAAGTGGTAGAAAGGGGTCAAGAACCTTTTCAAAAATACTTGAAATTCTTCTAATTTCTATTCTGTTATTATTTCATCTGCTATCAAAGCTGTCTTTCAAAGGATCCTTCACATCTACAACGTTTCAAAGTACCTTCTCCATTAGCATGTTTCTGCAATACAAACTCTATGTGGGCAGAAAATACTGCTTTTAATGAAATGATATATAGTATAAAATACAAAATACGATTTTATTAAAATGCACTGGTGACAGAACAGTTTCACTCACATTTCCCTTTTTTGATCTATTTTTTCTAATAAATTAATAAGTAGTATTAAATAATCTATCCAAGGAGTACCATTTGTAAAATAAAAGGCAGAAACAAGTTAACACTTCCTAGTCTTTTACTAACATGGAAGGGATATAAGTTAAAGACAAAAATATGAACAGTAACTTGAAAAAAGATCATAAATTGGGTGCAGCACACCAACATGGCGCAAGTATACATATGTAACAAACCTGCACGTTATGCACATGTACCCTACAACTTAAAGTATAATAATAAATAAATTAAAAAAAATAAAAAAATAAAAATGTATAGTACAAATTATGTACTGTTTTTATGTTAAATTACCAATTTAACTATTATATAAAAATAACCTTTTAGAGTTGAAAATCAGTATCAGTTCATTTATTTATAAATATGATTTAACTGCTACCTGAAAACATTGTTTTTATTTTTGTTATTTGGTTCTTCACATCATATTTGAGGGCTTTATTTTCATATTTATGCAAGATGATAAATTAGTCTAATTTTACCTCATGTTGTAAGAAAAACTAGCTAAACATTCTCCAAATTTCCCTTTGTAATGTGGGTCTTTGGGCAATAATTCAATCATTTTATTTTTCTGCATGGTACTGGTCTGTGTAATGGATTTTAAATATTTATCAAATTAATCAATTGCTTGAACAAATTCCATTAATGGCTTGAGATTTATGTGAATATCATATGTAGATTATGAGCCTTTCATTGCCAAACCATTTTACTCATGGACCTGTATTTCTAAAATTTGTGAGCACATACTCCAAATATATGTACGATTTGCTTATAGTTTATATACTTATACTACTTATACTGCCATACTGATATGTATGTATATTGTAAAAATCTACAAAAGAGAAATTAAAATTAACCAAATAAAAAATAAAATACTAATGAACAAAAAAAAAAAGAAAAAAGATCATAAATAAACGGTAAAAACTCAAAACTTCATTATGAAAACCTTTCCAACAGTAATTTATAAAAGTATATATATTTTTAAAAAACACTTGTGACAGCTTTAATAAACAATAAAATGTAAATTTAATTTAAAAGGACTGCTTCTAATGAACAAATACACTGCATATCAGCTTGGTCATACGCTAGAAGAAATATTAATCTATTAATCTACTACTATGCCATGTATCAAAAGTCTGTCATCATTTACGCTGATTTAACATTTGTCGACTATTAACACAATAACAGAAGACATTTTATGTGGTTTCAAACTATGTATACTTTAAAAATTTTTTTATATTTATTTTAAATAAAGATGAAGTCTCGCCATGTTGCCCAGGCGGGTCTCAAACTCCTGGGCTCTAGTAATCTTCCCGCACAGTCAACCACAGTGCTGGGATTATAGGCATGAGCCACCATACCTGGCCTGCATACAATTATTTTCTGTAGTACTTAAATATATAATTATTTCTGTAGTACTCAAATGAAGCACCTTCTACAAAAATATAAGGAAGATACTTTCAAGTAGGTACATACTAAACACAGAACTACTTTCTGTAGCATAATGGGCAGAACAAAGCACATCTATAATTGCATATTTGTTATTACCCAGCTTGATGGTAAAATTGTTGCCTTAATTTTGCATCTGCTGTACAAATAAATGAACATTTCTGAAGTATTTCATAAGTATACGTTAGTGAGGGCCACATACAGACATTACACATACCCTCAAATAACAGACTCTTAACTTTCAATAAATAGCCTACCACTTAGAAATATAATTTCCCCCTTTCATTTTCTCAATAAATAATATTAGTAAATAAAGTCATTACTTAGTGTCCTACTTGCCAATTTGCAGAACAATTAATCACAAAGTTTTTAATCACTTGCATACTTACTGAATTCTGTAACCCAGAACTGCATTACATGAGTGATCGGCTTTTGTAATCTTGTTGTAGTTATATGATTTGATTTGTGTATACATAAACAGCTGCTGCTGACAGCTGTCTGATGCTACCCTGCAACCAAGTAATTCATCCCAGCAGGAACAACAGTAATACTTTTTAATGTTTCCTCTCCCCTCTAGAGACCAAAAACAGTTCCAAGGCAAATACCTTTTCATAATAAACAATACCATATTCCTTATCATCACACTTGACACATCGAAACTCAACCATCAGGTACATGAAATTAGAACTTCGTTTTTCACTCTGAAAAAGAAAAAAAATGATTTTCATGAAAAATGATTATTTTCAACATTCTCTTAAAGGATCAGTATGCATCATTTTTCCCAATTCAGTAACACACGTATCTATCAAATACAAGTCAAAACATAACACATTTTTATTTTATTATATACATGTAGTGTGTTTTACACAGCACTATTATTTCATTACAGACAGCACTACTGTTTATTCAGTGGTGTCTACCATGCACTTATAACTGCTTTCTCAAATTGAACATTTTTGGTGTCTTCAGTACTTTGGGTTTATAATCTTGAAGGTATTTTGCACACATGTTCATGACAACTATTCTATTTCAAAAATAAAAAGAATGGTTTGTCCTTCTAACAACTGTAAGCTAAGTTCACCCTTAACCTATATGACTAAACTATAGAAATCAATATGTGTAACAAAAATAAAAAATAAAAAAAGTGTGCAACCTAAGAAAAGAGGCCATTTGAGTTTACCAAGTAGAGCCTTTACAAGTTTCTCACAATTTATAAATGGTCTTAAAATGATTTGTCACTTGTAAATTTTTATCCACACTTTAAATATACTGTGGAATAATTACTTCTTGTTCCAACATAAAAAAAATTATTTATATAATTGTGTCCCCTTTAAAATAAAAAAGCAAACATGGTCACATGTCACTTAACAACAGGTACACATTCTGAGAAATGCATCATTAGCCAGTTTAGTCATGTGAACATCATGAAGTGTAAACACACAAATCTACATGGTATAGCCTACTGCACACCTAGGTTATATGGTATAGCCTATTACCCCTAGGCTACAAACTTGTTACTTCAGGTTAATTCAAGTTACTGTACTGAATACTGTGGGCACCTGTAACACAACAGTTAAGCACCTGTATATCTAAACATACCTAAAAGAGAAAAGGTACAGTAAAAATAAAGTACTATAATCTTATGGAACCACCACTGTACATGTGATCTGTGGTTGAACGAAATGATGTGATGAGGCAAATAACTGTATTAGGGTGATGATGAAGTGAAAATACAATGAAGTCTAAAGGGGTAATTAGCCTTGACCCAAAACACCTGTATAAATGGTTTGAGCTCTAATATGTAAAATCACCAGGCATGGTAGCTCACACCCGTAATCCTAGCACTTTGGGAGGCAGAGGTGGAAGGACTGCTTGAAGCCAGGAGTTTGAGACTATCCTGGGCAACAGAGCCAGACTCTACAAAAAACTCTGAGACTATCCTGGGCAATAGAGCCAGTTTGAGACTATCCTGGGCAATAGAACTAGACTCTACAAAAAACTTTAAAAATATTAGCCAGGCCTGTAGTCCTAGCAACTTGGGAAGCTGAGGCAGGAGGACTGCCTGAGTCCAGAAGTTTGAGGCTGCACTGGGCATACCAGGGTAATCCAGTCTGGGTGACAGAGCAAGACCTTGTCTCAAAAGAGAAAAAAAAGAAATGATAATAAATAATAAAGGTCTGAAGAGGTTACTTACATTATTCAGCTTTATGAAACATATTATAGTCTATTTTGGTAATGGTAATAGGGTGGTAATGGTAATTTCTTTTAAAGAAATTAAAATGCGAAAATATGAAAAAGGCTGGGCAAAGCACACTCTAACATTACATTTTCCATACCCAGTGATATCTAAGTTTAAGAAGAGAAAAACGTAAGTTAGCATTATGAGTAAACTTTTTGAAATCTGACTATTATAAAATTTAAAAAGTAAGCCTTTCTTCCAGTTTAAGTATATAAGAACGTATTATGAAGAAATTTAGAAAAGGGACCAAATACGAGAATTGAATGTAAATGTTGTTCAACATCACTACCTTTATTTTAAAATAAAAGAATGCTAAAATCTAACTTTTACAATGGTTCACTGTAAAATTAAAAACTTCTCTCTTTCTACCTGCTGAAAATTATTTGGAGAATATAAATTAAGTAAGTTGTGGCTGATGGTCATTATAAATTAGACAAATCACAAATTGATGTCCTTGTCTCCTAATCTGATTAAAAATATGATTATTATTTATGTTCTCTAGGTGTGGAACATTAGGCCTAACATCTGGTATTTTAGAGCAAATATACAAAAAAGGAAACTATTCTTGTTACAACTTCTGGCAGGACTCTCATTGAAGCCATCTTTATTTAAACATATACACTGGCTCATATACAAGGTCAAGAAAAAAAAAATCACTTAAATCATGCAACCTTACAGAGGGTGCAGTCCTATATGCACCCTCTATAGACAAGCGATAAATTAATTGAAGAGAGAACTTGCTGAAATGATTTATGGTAACTGAAGTGAAAAGCTGGCACTGTGCTGATGGAAGATTTATCCAACACTGACTTGAACATGAGCTGATATGACAGAGAACCCACCACTGAGGCATTAAGCCTGCACAGGTTTCACTCATATGATATTTAGAACATCTTACGATATCCACTACCTACTTCATGGTTTGACATTATGTTAAAATATAGGGAAGGCTGATACCTCAAATTTTCCAGTTATTAGTATAGAATTCCCAGCTACAGGGGTTAACCCTAATAATCCTACATTTGTAAGATACCTAATAATAAACAATTCTTATCAAAAAATGGTTAATTTAAAAATTTACAGAAAATATTTTAAAATAAAAGAGGGATATAACCCACCTCATTTATCATTTCTATTTCTCTAAATGTCAATCTATCCAGCCAATCTACTTTCACCATGTGTCCTTGTCGATGAGCTTTGGTGAGCTGCAGAATAAATACAATGATGAGAATTTTAAAATAGATCTAGTAGAAAGAAGGACCAAGAATGTCAGAATGGCAATGTCTGTTTCACATATGATACTTACCTATACACAAGAGAAACCATATGCAACTAGCAGGATAAGAAAGTTGGCAAGAGACAAATCATGATTTTTTTAAAGAAAAACAAATACATTTTTTTAAAAAGGTCCACATTTTGCCATATTTTGACATGATAAAGAATAATGAAGTTGTTCCTGAAATTATCTCCATGTTCTATATTTCTCATATTTTGACTATTACAAAAAGATGGAATTATACAGTTTCATGAATGGGAAATAAACCAGTTTTTTCTTCCCAGCTTTCAATGTATCTAACCAACATGAATAAATGACAGTTACAGGTAATAAGGCATTTTTCTGGGTTTATACATTAATATTCTAAGGTTTAAGCTTACACATACGCATGTATGCTTTAATTTTAGGGAACGGTGATAAAAGTCTTCAGTTTTCTAGAATAGCAGTTGGTAGAGTCCTGTGAGGTCTTATGTACCAATCTAACCTTAGTTTTATAAATTAAATAATAATTCTTCGACTCCTTCAAATCCATAGAGAATTCCAGGTAAGTTCCAAGGTCCTCAAATTAGAACCAGGTTTTGAATTAGAATGTGTAATACTAAAAATCAACACCCCTCTCATTCCTTCTAAACAAATTGACAGTATAAAGCAAAACTGGACATGAAAGTTTTACATAGTAGCTTATCTATATCAGTTTCTTCCACTTCATTGTCCATATCATGACAGCATTCCTACAAGAACAGCAAACACTGCCATCAATTTTCTCTCTCTTGTAGACCTAAAAATCTTCACTATCAATCTTTTTTCTCTTCCTCAACTCATCACAACTATGTGGTCACACTATTTCAGAAATAAAAATACTAACGTCACACAAAAAGCCTGAAGTTCATTTTAATTAAAAAAAAGTAATATCAATTTAGCTTTCTTCCAATAATTCCCTCTCATGTGAGGTAATTTCTATATGAAAATGTATGAAAAGTTATTAATAAGTTTAGCATGATTACAAAAAGCAGCAACTAAATATTGTGTTGGCTCTGGTGAAATAATAGACAAATATGCTAGCAACATGGAAAGAGACCTAGAAATAGTCACAAGGAAACCAAAAGATCAGGCAATGTGACCTACAGAAAAAGAGTGATAGAGTAGAAGCCGGAAGACCAGAGTTCCAACCTTAATACTCCATTTTCAAACTATGTCCTTTCTGAACCCACATAAATAAAATCAAAGTATTAACGTCTATTCTTACTCCCAAAACTCAAATAAAATAACAGATGCAAAATATAACAGGTGGTATTATTTCATGCAGTCATTGGAAGCTTCTATTCTCACTCACTTCGCAATATGCTGCAAATTGGTTTTCCAAATAAATGAAAATATAAAAGGTCATTTTACATCCTTTGCTTGTACGAATGAAATAACAATTAGTAATAAGAGTTTGTATATTTCCTAGAGGAATGGAGTAAAAAATAACATTTATTTACATGCCAAATTATAGGCACTTTTTATAGCCACACTATTTCATAGACAATTTTGACCCCCGTTTGCAGATGACTATCAACTACTACTATGAAGCGGCCAAGTTAGGGTTTAAATCCTGGTCTATATGATTCTAAAGCCTATACTCCTACCACCAGTCTCTGCTATCCTCTCTACTGATGTACAATGAATTTTAAGTGAAACTCATTTCTGTTATTTCTTGAATATTAGTTTTGTATTTGTGATGCAATAGTTGATCCACTACTAATTTCCTATGAGCAAAGAATTGGCAATGGTAAATTAAGTTTAGATGAGGGAGAATGTGGTGGGAACATTTTCCTCCTTTACTAAAACTATTCAGACAAATTAGAAATGTTCTAAAGCCATTTTCACTAGCTCGCGAATTTATGTTTTCTGCTAATATATATTATCTCCCATATAGCATATGATTAGCTTTCTAATTTGAATACCAAATATGACCGATTGCACAAGAGCCACTAAAGAATGTATGGACAGCATGCCAGTACTCAAATTGGTACAGTCACTATGAAAATAAGTTTAAATTATACTAGAGAAATTCACATTTGTGCACCATGATTTGCAGTACAGAAAAATTAGACACAAAAGAATGAAAATGTCCATCAATAGTAGGAACTGTTAAGTAAACTACACACACACTATGAAATACTATAATCAGAAAGAATGGGAAAAATCTGTATGCCTTAATAGGAAAGATATTGTTGACTGCAAAACTGATTGTGAAATTAAAGGTACCATTTATGCTATGGAAGTTGTTTGCATGTCTATCTCCTGTACCTGACTTTGAGATTGATGGCAAAAATTCTGTGTATCTGAGTTAATTTTATGATTTTCACAGATTCGAACAGTTATCACTCAAAATGTCTCCTAGCTGCCTGTCCTATTTACCTATTACTCCATAACAAACCACCCTAAAACTTAGTGGCTTAAAACAACATTCATTTTATTGTTTCTCTTTACTTTTTTGGCAAAATCATCTTCTTGAGAGACATTTAAGTAATTTTTTCTTGTAGTCTCACTCATTGGTAGTCACAATATTGTATTCATTGGATGGTTGGAGCTGGAACATCCAAGCTGGCTTGACTCACATTTCTAACACCTTGGTGATAAAGGGTCGGCTTAGCTGGGATACCAGGGTGGTAGGGCCTCTCGTTCCCCACGTATTCTCAGTGCTGTTCCCTCTTCAAGTGGTTTTTCAACTTGGTCACTCCAACAGAATAGCTGGACTTCTTACATGATGGCTTAATGTTCCCAACATGTGAAGAAACCAAAGCTGTCACACTGTCTTGCCTAGAACAGATGCAGCGTCACTTCTGCTGCATTTCATCAGTTAAAATGAGTCACAGGGTAATATAGATATAATGTGGAAGAGTGTGACTATCAGAAGCATATTTCATTGACTATCAGAAGGCACATTCATTTCATATTTCATTTCATTGAGTTAGTCTCCTAAGAGACTAGCTACCACAGTGCTGACTTATCAGAGAGTCTAAGCACATAGTACAATTAATTGTTCCACTGCAATGGAGCAGGTGTGTACAGTTTTAGAGATGGCAAAGTCAGCTCTTGGCTGGACTTTAGGCAGCAGAAAAAGTCTAGAACTAGCTATCACAATTGCTAAATGATCCATCGCTGCCTTCCTCTTCAGAATAATCTCCTTCAACTCTCCAATACATTCACCAAACTCCAGCTAACACAGTCTCTTCTGTTTCTTCAAACCATAAAGCCGTTTACCTTTACTGCTTAATGCAGGTGAAATAGTTATTAATAATTGCATTAATTTTTATTAATTTTATAAAACTATAAAGCACTATGTAAGCTGTAACAGCTATTCTAATTACTCCATAACCTATGTCACTTCATCTCTTATGGGTGCTGATAACAATGTAGATATACTCGAGAGGTTTTCATCAGTCCAAAGCAACTTCTAGTTATCCCCAATCCAGGAACTTCTACAGATACTAAAGACCAAAAATGAACAATAAACACAGGTGGCATAAAAATTTATATTTCATTTTGGATCTGAAATGTCAGTGATTTGGATCTTTCCAAAGAGAAAACCTGCATTCTGTTAAGCAGCAGGGTAAAAGTAGGGCAATCTGTTTCAATTACCCGTGAAGAAATAATCCTCACTAGGATGCCCATTCTAGGATGGGGACAAGTCAACAAATAGGAAAAGAAAAAAAAAAAATTCATTCTCTCTTTTTAAAGGAACACAAGTTTCTTACAGAATTCACAGGAAGTCACAAAGAGTTTGGAAGAAAAGTCCACTGTCACACACACACACACACACACACACACAAATGGCATAATTTAGCCCTAACTTCTCCAAGAATGAAAGAGCAAGGAGTTTTAAAAGGTATTTAAATAAAAGAATCCACGAGATCCAAATAACAACACGCCTGGGAAACTTCTTGGAGTACTAATTCTGTATTGTCAGATTTAATAGAAGAACAAAAAGATGTGCTTGAGGAAGATGTCTCAGATTAGTACGTGTCTAATAAAAGTATAAACGACAGAGCCAAAAGCAGGCCAACTTGCTGCACTGTGTAAGAATAAGACCAGCAGGGAAACAAATTTCGGAGCAGACAGTGATCCTTGGAAATAGACAGACTTCCATGATCATTAGAACTCACAGTTCATTGCTCCATATTCTTCTCTGCTTTACTAGACAAAAAAGGTTCCTGAGTGCAAGAGCTATGAATGGTCACTAGAAGCTAGCATTTATTCATTCAATGCCAATTTATACTTATTGAAAGACTTTCTATGTGAAAGGATGATAAACATAATGAAAAACAAATGTAAGTATACTCTGATATTCTACCCAAAGAGCTTTGGGGCTTCAGGGGAAGAGGTGGCAGCTGGAGAGAGAGAGAAAAAAGAAAGATTCCTGCCCTTGGTCACTCTTCCCTAATCCTTATATACTCTCAATACAAATATATGTAACTTTCTGGCTATTAAGTAACGAACTTCCATCATGTCCTCTGTCCTTGAGATGAGTATAGAATGTTGAACAAAAGCAGCAAGTTCTCTGCCCTAACAGAACATCAAGGTGGAAATAAGTGAGTTATTCAATATAGTAAGCACTTAAAAGTGTAACTATAAATTGGAACAGTGATATGAAAGTAGTACCTTATGACTGATAACTTGGAAATACAAGATATGAGCAAATCAAGTAAGTTGTCTAAAAACAACTTAAAAATATAATCCTCACTTTTCAAATCAACAGAAAATGAACCAAGAATTTCAAACATTTTTAATATCCAACCATAGAAGACTGCTGAAATCAATTATGACTTATCCACACTATGCAAAACCCTCCAGCCTTTACAAATTATGTGGTAGAAGTATCTTAAATAACCTGGAACAATTTTGAGACACCATTAAATGTAAAAGCAAGGTTCAATTAAACAC